CACACCTATGCTAGGGATAAATGCTGGGCTTCTACAGGAGGTCCCATAGATTTCTGAGGTTTCCTCACAGAAACCTAGACATAGAATAAGGATTACCAGCCTACAATCTACACTGCCAAAGAAGCTAATAAACAAGGAGGATTCTGTTATTTTTATATTTACAGGTTAGAGACCTATGTTAACATGATTTCCCGCCCCTTTTTGTCCACTATTTGTGTGAAATGAATTTTATTTATAAAAATCTCTAAACATTCTAGGACAGCTTAGGCTACATAGAGGAATCCTGCCTCAAAAACAAAACAAAACAAACACTGGCATTTTAGACAATCCCAAGAAATCAAAGGAAGTATGTAAACTTATTGATAGGAAGAAACAAGTCCAGAAAGTTTTTCTGACTTGTACTTGTATGGAAGAGTATATCCTGTGCATAGTTTGCAATTGCACCCACTAGTCTCCCACACATAAATATTTATATGTACCACAACATGCAAGAACATTTCATATTATTTTACTCATTAGTTTGCTTCTTTAGTATTGGTCATTATTATGAACCTATCATTTGTTCAGAATAATTTTCTCTGAATCTATGTGACAAAAGGGATTATAAATTGTCATCCCATGTGCATCACACATATGCCTTTGTTCCTCCTAGCAACCAGACCTCCTGGTATGTGCCACCCAGATGAGTTTCAGTGCCAAGGAGATGGTACTTGCATCCCTAACACCTGGGAGTGCGATAGACATCCGGATTGTATCGACGGATCTGATGAGCACAATGGCTGTGTTTATAAGACTTGTTCTCCATCTCATTTCCTCTGCGACAATGGAAACTGCGTCTACAGACCTTGGGTCTGTGATGGGGACAATGACTGCAGGGATAACAGTGACGAGAAGGACTGCCCTGCCCCGCCTTTTCGTTGTCCCTTTCGGCATTGGCAATGTCCAGGCTACAACATTTGTATCAATCTGAGTGCCCTGTGTGATGGCAACTTTGACTGCCCAAATGGGACTGATGAGTCCCCACTTTGCAGTGAGTTTCCTGACATTTTACTGCTATAAATGCATTCTGGACAGTGTCTGCTGTAACCCAGCACTTTCACAGTCCCCAAATAGTATTTTGGGAAGGAATTTTAGTTTCTCTGTGACTTCATATCCCTGATAATTAAATTCTAATAAATCATGTCTGCATAACACTTCTCTTTAAGTCCTTTGCACTTGTGCCTGTGTTTTCCCTTCTTTTTATATCATTGTTTAGGAAAATGAAACTAAATGCGGACATCACATCATCAAGTTAAATGCAGCTCTCTTAGTAATGTGTTCATGAACTTCTCTAACTTTAATCAGAACTTGTCTTATAACAGCCAAAATCTGGGGAGTTGTTTTGCTGTGATTAAAATGTTCTGATTGGCATGTGGTCCTAACTACTGTCCCTTCTCTTTCCTCTTTAATTAACACTCACTCTCAGATGAACCACAGCAAGGTATGACTGTGAAATATTTTAGACTCTTATGATTTCACATGTGTCATGTAAATGCTGAACTTGTACTAATTACTGTGCCTTCTTCTTCTAGTGCATGTCCTGTGTTATGACTACCTATAAGTTGTGGTGCTCATGGCCATAGAGGGTATTTTCATACCCAGGCACATAACCTGGCTTTGGGCAGGTTCAGTCATTGCCATGTTGGCCCTAAGAGTAAGGAATGATGGTGTGTTAGAAAATCTGTGTCCTTTCCATTTAATCACTTCCCACTTTTTCTGTGAAACATTTAAGACCTATTGTTCCGTTTCTAGTTAGGTTGGGGAATCCTGGAGGGAGCAAGTTAGATTTCTCTGTATACTTCATCAATGACAGTTTCTTGATGTCAGCTTTATTTCCTGGAGGGTGGTTGTAGAGTCCTGTTCCAATGGATAATCTATCCTCAGGCAATTCAGAGAAAACACTAACCAGATTATCCATGAGAATGTTGCTCTTAATAACTCTCATTAAAGTTGGAAGAGGATTACATCAAAGTGAGCCAACAAAACAAAACAAAACAAAAAGCAAGAATGTTTGACTTTCCCCCTGTGACTCTTTATTCTAGATCAAGACAGCTGCTTACATTATAATGGTGGGTGCACTCATCAGTGTGTCCAAGGGCCCTTTGGAGCCACATGTGTATGTCCATCAGGATACCAACTTGCCAACGATACCAAGACCTGTGAAGATATAGATGAATGTGATAGTCCAGGCTTTTGCAGTCAGCACTGTGTAAACATGAGAGGTACCTTCCGGTGCACTTGTGATCCAGAATATACATTGGAAGGTGACAGGCGGACTTGCAAAGTCACAGGTAATCATTAAGCTTAAAAGTGAACTAATTCCAGGAAATTAAATAGCCTCTCCTAGAGTGTAAGCATTTGGTAAGGCTGATCAGTGTTCAGCCTGACTAGTCTTCCTAGTCAGCTTATTTAATGCCTTTTGACCTATATGAAAGTGAACATACTAGGTATTAGAATATTGATCCAGCTGCTTTCAAACTGATTCAACAGAGGAGGATTTAAAGGTTGCTTATTGCAGGGCACAGTGGCATATGTCTGTTATTCCAGCACTTGGGAGGTAGCATCAGGTCAGCCTAGACTTCATAGTGAGTTCAAGGCCAACCTGAACCACATGAATCTCTGCTTTAAAATGCCAACTTTTGTTTTCAACTAGGCTTGATGAGAGTGGTCCAAGGGACAGACTGATTTTTAATACCATGAAGTTTCCATCCAAGATCCAAGAAATCTTTTCTTTTCCCTATGAAGCAGGCTAGGAAAACAAAATTCCTTTTAAGGATGTATCTTGGAAGTAGATACATCATTGTTATCTGTATACTATTGGTCAGAACTCAGTCATTGGGTTACTGCAGCTACAGTGGCGGCAGAGGCCAATCTATGATGTATAACTAAAAAGACAAGGGGGAAAGGAATATTAGTCAACAGGCAGAACTCTCTGCTACAACTAAATGCTTAATAGAAGACTTGATTCCTGCCAAGAATCAAGCCTACATTCTGCTAAGGTAGATAGAAAAGTACAACAGTAAAAACAGCGCTAGGATGACTGTAAGTACAGCTCACTCCAGACTGGTACTCAGATGTACACTGCATTAATTCAAGACAGCAAGCTGCTTCAGAACACAACTATTTTAATTACATACTAATAAATGTCAATGAACAATTAAGGTCCCATGACCCAGCTTAGCTTCTGATGAGATCAGGGGTGTCTATAATGGTATGGCTGCAGAGTTAAGAATGAACAGATTACTTGTTGTGTCTTATTCCCCCATTTCTCTAGTTTGGTATCACCCATTGGATGTTGAAGAGACCCTTTAATTGTATCTAATGTGTTTTCCTTTCAGTTCATTGACAATTTCTTTTTTCCTTTTCCTGCACAGCATCTGAAAGTTTGTTGTTGGCTATAGCAAGTCGTGACAAAATCATTGTGGACAATATCACTGCCCACATGCACAACATCTATTCACTGGTCCAGGATGTTTCTTTTGTGGTCGCTCTTGATTTTGATTCAGTCACTGGTCGTGTCTTTTGGTCTGACTTACAGCAGGGCAAAACCTGGAGTGTCTTTCAAAATGGAACAGACCAGAGAGTTGTAAGTGCTCTTCTATAGCCATTCTGTATTTATTATTACTCCTCTCCAAGGGAAGGTCAGACCCTCCCTTGTTCCAGGCAGCACATCATATGTGTGAGGTCTGGATATTCCTAACTTCAGTGCTGTGGGTCTGCTCTTCAAGCCTCTCTATGATTCTATGCCCTGTGATGCAGATCCTATGGGGATCTCTTATAAAAGCGGAGGAAAGTGCAAGAGAGTAAAGGAGTTCCTGCACTGAGTTTGTCTGATTAGTTATTTTTTTATTTATGCATCTGAGTTTATGTCTGGTTGCAAGTAGAGGCCAGAAGATGATATCTGGTCCCCATTGGTGAGCTGCTACATGGGTGCTGAGAACAAGTCATTTGCCAAAGCAGCAAGTTCTCTTAGTCATTGAACTATCTCTTCAACTTCCTGAGTTTGTTTCTTGATTCCTGACTGTCACAATTTCTTTATTGAATTCTGTAAGGGCTCACACATTGGTAGAGCTCTTAGCAAGTGCCGAAACCTTTAAAATCAAAATGAAACCACTCACTAATACAGCTATGTCTCATTATTTAAGACTATGAATGCTTATACTTATCCTTGAAAACATTTCTGTTGACTCACTGGTTAGTTACATTATGAGACTTATTCTAGACTTTCATATGTCTATGTTTGTCTCCATTTATTCTAATATCCACCACTTATTTTTTTGTCTGTAGGTACACGACAGTGGTCTCTCCGTGACAGAAACGGTTGCAGTAGATTGGATAGGTCGCAATCTTTACTGGACTGACTATGCTCTGGAAACAATAGAAGTTTCTAAAATTGATGGAAGCCACAGGACAGTGCTGATTAGCAAAAATGTCTCAAACCCCAGGGGACTAGCATTAGATCCAAGAATAGGGTAAGAAAGACACTTACTAGTGTGAACGACTAAGTACTGAACGACTGTTAGATTTTAAATTAAGGCACGCAGTAATGCCTCATTTAGCTGTGATTTTGATACAACAAACTTTTAATGTCTGCTTGAAGTTCATGTTCATTTCTAGAGAATCCTTAGGTGTAAGGGGAAAAAGAAGAAGAGGAAGAAAAATTCTCTCATGTATTTCAGAAGCTTTGAAAATCTCTCCTAGATTTTTATGTAGATTCTGTAGGTTACAGAGTTTTCTATAAGATGATGAGTTAGTTTATGTTCAGTATGATGCTGACTTCCCAGATAGTGAGAGTTATTATACATCAGTGAAGTTTATAATGAATCTCTGAAGATGGAGAAATAAATCCACTAATTCATCAGGCCATTTCCCTGTTATGATGTACTACATGTTTTATGTACATTATAAAAATATCTAGATGGCCTGTGGTTGTATTATGATCAGAGTCATGACCCAGGTGTTGTATTAGGTTAAGTGAAAGTTATCTTCCCTGTAAATATATGTTCCTTCTTTTCACAGTAACCATCTAATGTTCTGGTCTGACTGGGGCCGTCACCCTCGAATTGAGCGAGCCAGCATGGATGGCACCATGCGCACAGTCATTGTCCAGGAAAAGATATACTGGCCTTGCGGCTTAAGTATTGACTATCCCAACCGACTCATCTACTTCATGGATGCCTATCTTGATTACATTGAATTTTGTGATTATGATGGACACAGTCGAAGGCAGGTCATTGCTAGTGATTTGGTAAGTTTGCAATAAACACATTTAAACTACGGTAGAAACCAGTATTAAGACAACCAAGAACAAATATGCACAATGAGAATAAAACAAAACAAAAAAAAACAACCCATAAACAATGGTGAGGTATAATCCACCTTCTGTTCCTAACAAGAAAATTAATATGTTTATCTTAGTCATAGATCGTACCATGTCCAGGATAAGATTAATAGCCAATGTGACTATTAAAAAAATCATGGTTTAATAAAAAGTAAGAAACTAGACTCATATTTCTCAATGAAACTAGAGCCTGTTATGTGATTACCTTTAATATGCTTTTATTCAATGAATTTTGCTTATGTTTTACAAGTTTGCCAGTGCAGAAAATTATGTAGATTACCAAGTAGCTGTCACAGTTTAGTCCCACGAGGAGACTTTCTGCTATTGGGTAATATATGCCTACAATATAACAGATTGAGTGGCAGAAATAGCCCCGGAACAATTTTAAAACGAATATCCAGGGTCCTTCCTAGCTAGACACTTGTATTAGCTACTTCCTGGTGTCATCAGTATTTAAATGCTGACAAAGTCTCCTTGACCAGACATCCCTTTCCATTTCTGGCTGAGGTCTCATTGTCTGGTTCTGCTTCTAGGTTCTCCGCCATCCTCACGCTCTGACTCTGTTTGAAGACTCTGTGTATTGGACTGACCGTGCTACCCGTCGGGTTATGCAGGCCAACAAGTGGCATGGGGGGAACCAGTCAATTGTAATGTATAGCATTAACCAGCCTCTTGGGATTATTGCCATTCATCCTTCAAGGCAGCCCTCTTGTAAGTGATAACACATACACAGCCTGTTTGGGAATAGCATGGTCATTTCATCTTCTGGACGTGTTAAGTGCGTGGGCAATGCAGTTTCTTTTCACTGATTTCAGGTCTCCATGCTTTTTCCTTGGCCTCTGCATCTTCCTTGCTTTTATTTCCTACCGGGAAAGCAGTCCTTTGTAGGTGACAGCCGCATATCCTCATAATGTCATTTGATTCAGCAATTAGCTACTTCCTTTTTGGTCTTGTTAAGCTTGTAATTGTTTGGAGTCTTTATGATACCAACTCCTTGTAGGTGTTCTGCTGTGGCTACCCATGTCACCTTCATGCACGGGTGTGTGGGTGGACAGAGCTTGTAAAGATTTGGCCTTGGTGGGAGGGACAACACTTAATCGTCCCATACTCTTCTCTCCTCACATCTCTCCAGTGGTGTCCCACACTCAGAGTCTGGCCCTGTTTCTTCTGTGGCTTACATTCACCGTGCTGGACTACTTCATGGTCTAGTGGCACGCCAGGCGAGTTCTCAGCTTTGAACTTTTGTATTTATTTGTTCTGTCTTGAACATCTGTCTTCTTTCTGCCTCTGTCAGAATTGCTGCCTCGTGCCATTTAGGGTTTTCTGCTCATGTGTCACTTTATCAGAGAAGCTGTCCTTAACCAGCCGCCCCCCCCACAAGATAGCTGTCTTCTCACCATGTTCTTACATCTTATCCTCACATTCTAAATTATCACCCACAAACATGAATTCACAGGTGCGTTTTCTTTCTAGAATTTATGCTCCATGTTTACCTTCAGTGTCTTTGAGACGTCTCAGATGCTCAATATTTTTTTTGTGTGTGTTAAGAAAAGAATAGATTAATTATTGAGCATACCATACGTAGAAGAAACAGGATTAAGAAACACGCTGTGAGACCAGAGAACTAACACATGCATAGGTGGAAAAATGAACTTGGATAGATGTATACCATGCAGCTAGATCATTTTTAGGTCCAGCAAGGAGACATTGTATTTATATTTATATTATGAGTTCTAGATAGTTCAGTGACTGGTTATAACTTGCTAAGTTAGGACCTTGTTGAAAGCCCTTCCTTTCTCTAGTGCCTCTGCAAGCATTCCCCTTTGTAACATTGGGAGCTCTGGGGAGGACCATGACCCTGAGCACTGTAGTGCAGGCAGTTTTCTGTTTACACATGCATTCTTTCTTCCACAGCCCCAAATCCGTGTGCCTTGGCTTCCTGCAGTCACCTTTGCCTGCTTTCGGCACAGGCGACTAGACAGTATTCTTGTGCCTGTCCTTCAGGATGGAACCTCTCTGACGATTCTGTCAACTGTGTGAGAGGTAAGTGTGCTTTGATGAGCAAGTCTGCCATAGTGGGTGCTGGGCTATGAAACCCTCAACCCAGTTCTAACTGAAACTGAGAGTGGTATTTCCCATTATGTTCAGTGGGGATCCTGTGGGCTGATTCAGTTGAACATCTCTACTGTTAGCTGTGCATGTGGTCGAACCATCTTTAACCTCGTATTTCTTACACTTGCCTTTTCTGATAGGGGAGTTTTCAAATTCTGTAGAAATCTGTTTGTGTACAGCTTGTACTTTTTTTCAGGTCCGTTTATTCTTAAACAATAGCGAGTGATCTGTCCTGTGTCTTATGACTCCAATTTCAGAATTGTTAGTATTATTATCTGATACCTCAGAAGTAAGTACTGTCTCTGAGAAATATTACAAGTGGCTATTTGAGCAATTCAATCTTAGTTATCTTAGTGGGTTGATTGAAGGGTATGTGGAGTATTATGTCAAGTGCTCTGGAGAGAGCAAAGGGAAAGAGAAATGATTTCTCCAAGAGTGTCTACATGCATATATATCTTAAAAATCATCCTCTATTGCTCAGAAATTTAAAAAGTTACTCTGAATATGATCATTTCTCACTGAAGAGTGAATGTGTTTTGAAACTGATACAAATTGCTAGAGATAAGTCGAAACTAAACTGTTAGTTACACTTAATTTTTAAATTGAAGCCTGAATCTATAGTGAAACTGGGCTTTCAAGTGGAAAATACATTATGGATTCAGGTCATTTATAGTGTTTACAGGTTATAGTGTTTGCAGATGAGGTCCTGATGGTGAAGCCCCATCCAGATATGTGGCATACTGCACTGATAATCCATGATGAAAGGATTTAATTATTGGCAATAGTTACAAAGGGATTGGCATTTACTATTTTTCTTGAGAGATTTATTACATTACTAATCCTTGTTGACACTATTTAATTCAGTGTGTCCTTGAGTCTTTCAGAGAAGATTAATCTGTGCATAGATACTTTAGATAGAAAGCATTCCTTCACCAAAGATTGTCAGCTGTTTATTGGGGACTATCTGATGGTGATTCCAAATATTACCACTTGTCAGTTTACAAATAATTCCATGAGTTGGCTTTAGAAGTGGTCTCTAGTATCCCCTATTCATTTCTGACATGTAGCCCGACTGCCTATATGGCCATTAAGAAAAGACACATCTCCCCCGATCCCCCCACCAATAAGTTTAAATGATTTACTAACATGCAGATAAAACATTTGCTTGATTTAGGTGCTCATTTGCCTTTGCTAAGACTCTGGAATGGCCATGACAGTGCTTCTCTGATACTGTACATGATACACAGATGGTTTATGTTGGGGAGGGGTGATGGGAGAGGTGCTTGCCTGTGTGGGGCACTGCAAAAGCAAAAACCAAACCAAGCAAGTATCAGTAAACTAATAGTGGTTATTGGTGGATAGGGGGATTATGGAGTCTCCTGGTTGGTTTTTTTTTCACAGTTTTACCTTACTATGTGTGACTCGAGTGCCTATGCACATGGGAGAATGCGCATGTCGCAGCATGTGTGGGCGGATGGCAGAGCACCACTCTCAGGGGTCAGCTGTTTGCTTCCACTGTAGGTTTCAGGGTTTGAACTCAGGTTGCCAGGCTTGTGTGACACTTTTACCAACCGAGCCATCCCATTTGACTCACTTTTTCTAATTTTGTAGTCTAAAATTATAGGGATGTGCTTTCTTACATTTACTTAGGAAATACATTTCCCAAAATGACCAAACCAAGTAGACAAACTCTAGTGGAACACAGATAAATGCACACAGATATACACACACTCATACACACACACTCATACACACACACACACACACACACACACACACACACACACACACACACAACCAATGGTCTCCTGAAAGCAAGGTAATTTTCTTACTTTTCTACTTCTCCATCCCCCAATCAAGCTCTAGAAATACAATGGTGAGAAAATTAAATGCAATAGTAATTGTGTTACATTGTGAATTAGAAGGAAGGCATATATTAACTAAATGATGTCTGAGAGGCATGAAGCAAGATACTATTCACCAAGTTATGTTTCACCTCTCTACCTGTCGAAGTCACTTCTTGGTAAGGTTATATATTGGTAGAGAGAGAAGATAGTTTGTTAGTGTGAGTAAGGAAGGAGAAACTGAGAACTATGCACTGGGCTGTACTCTCAAACAGTCTTATGTGGAGTTGAGGGCCCTAGGGGGAGGCCTGTGGTTACTTATGACACACCTGTTGTAGTTAATGCTGCAATGCTTGTGATAATGTTGTTTTTACAGGTGAGCAACCTTTCTTGATGTCTGTAAGAAACAGTGTAATTTTTGGAATACCCCTTGATCCTGAGGTGAAGAGCAACGATGCTATGGTTCCCATAGCAGGGATACAGAATGGCTTTGATGTTGAATTTGATGACTCAGAGCAATTCATCTATTGGGTTGAGAACCCGGTAAGTTTTGGATACATTCAATGTATATGGTCATTATTTTAAGACAAAGTAACCTCGGGGAATTCCAGGAAGGCATTTGATGGAACTCCTGGGGGTTAAAATCTTTGCTCCTTGGGGGCAAACATTTCTCTAGCCCCCTTTAGCTTGAGACTCTTTGTTTTCTTCCTTCATGGAAGCAATCTGACTCTGGTGAAAGAGACAGGAGAAAGAAAGGAGGCTGAAGAGAGCTCTGTGATTGGCGTTGTGTTTCTCGTTGACCTCTGAGCCACTTTAGAATGTGCTTTTAATTTTTTATTTTTAAGGCTGTATGGTGAGCTTTTCTTCCCTGAAAGGTCAGGTACTCAACTTTGCTTTCTTTTCCCAATAAGTGAGGAGCACCAAGAAAACACTAGCAGATGGCAATGGCTGTAGTATGAAGAGGGCTTCTGCATAGGGGCTGTACCCCTGCCTCAGGTCAGCTCACCTCTCTTGTCTTTCTTCTCAGGGTGAAATTCACAGAGTGAAGACCGATGGCAGCAACAGGACAGTGTTTGCTCCTCTGTCTCTACTGGGGTCTTCTTATGGCCTGGCCTTAGATTGGGTATCAAGAAACCTTTATTATACCACTTCTGCAAGTCGGTCCATTGAGGTAATGCTTCTATTATAATATAGCTACAAATATTGCTTTCAGATTAATGTAGAATATAATGTCAGGCATGGTGGCTCAGTCCTTTAATTCCAGTACTTGGGAGGCTTGGGCAGGTGAATTGTCATGATTTTAAGGTCTGCTTGGGCTACAGAATGAGATGTTGTTGTCTCAAACCCAGAGCCAAAATGTACAACCAAAAACATCTACAAAACAGCAAAAACTACTACAAAATATATTTCCACAGGAAATAAAAACCATCTTACAAAAAATAATAGAAAATTCTATTCTGTTTCCTACAAACTATCAGTTGTACTGTGCCCCTATAAAGGATATTGCTTAATTCACAACATTCCAAGAAAGCTAATTAAAATCATAGAAGAAATACTTTGTCAATTATCAACCAAGTTTATAGCTAACTCTGTTCTCAGATAAGCATCACACTATGGCTCCAATGTAGTTTTTCTAAGAGTGAAAGACAAAATAGAAACTTGATTCTAATTTCTCTCCTCTTTGAGATAAGTACTCTTTATATCTCAGTCCCCAGAAGACATTCTAGATGCAGGGTAGGCTTGACCTCACATGAATTAAGTCTGTGCCTCCAGTATTGGTTTTCTCCATTCTGGGATAAGGACAAGTATGTGTGGGAGTATTACTTCATGCTAATTTTGAAAGTGAGTCCCTAAGGAGAAAGAAGGGGTTTGAGAGGAGTAGTCAGTAGACCTCAGAGTTGACACGTTGCTGATCCATTGATTGTCCTTTGGTTTGTTGGGTGAGAGTCCTGTTAATTATGAGGGAATTGCATGGCTGCTTGGTAGAGTCCTTAGTTTATTAGTGACTCACAATGAGTGACAAATTTGCAATATGCATAAATGCCAATCTGTGGAATGTCTCAAAGCAAATAGAATCAACTGGTGTGAAGCGATCCTGAGGGCCCATCTGAAGAAATAGCTGAAATGGTTGGCTTCAATGCCAGGAATAAGTGCCAGAAACCCAGACCTATCTAATCCCATTTGACAGTGGCAGAGGGTACTTTTCATAATCTGAAGCTCATCAAAACATGATGTGTTGCTGAGAATCCCACAGTTAAACCCAAGGCCCCCAGAGAAAGGTGATGATGAGTGCACTCTCTCTCTTTTGGTGTCTTGGTTGACTGCTTTAAATTTCCAAAAGTATCACTATAGGTCTCCAGCAGCAACCGGTAAAATGAGTAGCCTGTTGGGGAGCGCCTGAGTGAGCATATAAGCGTATCGAGAGACATAGTCACTGGCAATGCAGAAATCTAGTTTGTGATTGAGCCTCCAGTACAGTATTATACAGTGGGGAGAATCCAAATCAGCATCTTATTCATCTTATGCATTTTATTCATCCAGCAGTTCTTGCTAAATGGTTCATATGGATCAGTAGTCTGATTGGTCCTGGATATTTAAAAAGATGTGCAAAACATTTTTTTCCTTTTAAGTAGCTCACACACCAACCAATAATTTTGCTAGGATTAGTAAAAGAAGTGTTATGTGGAGGGAGGGGCAATAGAAAGCTTATTAATGTTTATTTGAGCGGAGCTTCAAGGATAACCAATGTCTACTTCTAGTATGGAAAAGGCAGAGGGATAAAAACCCTGAAATGAAAACCAAAGCAAAACCAAACACATATTATGAATGGAGGCAAAAATATTAATCTCCACTCATGAACTGTTTGACCTGGGACAAATCACTTAACTTTGAACCTCTTATGAAACAGGGTGTAAATTATCACTGTATTCAAAATGGGAGATGAATAATCCAAGGGTTTGCATTGGTTACCCTCTTAGTTCTTTCTGATGACTGCGTGGGATTCACACTCCATTCTTTGTTGAAAATAGGTGATGTTGAACCTGCTTTCCACTAGGGGTAGCTGTGTGCCTATTCCTTGAATAAATGTGTAGCTTAAAAATGAAGCCTGCAGGCGGCTTTGTGAGAGAACTTGAGGTAGAATAGAAGTCAAGAAGGGACTTAACGTGACCCAAGGAGACCCTTAGGCCCAGAGAAGGTAGGAGGTTCTCATAGAAAAGGGCAACTTGATATGAGAAAAATTATTGTAGTTCAAGCAGGAATTAGAAATGCCAGACAAAGTGCAGAATGAGGGAAAAAGGCAGTGTGTGTGTGTGTGTGTGTGTGTGTGTGTGTGTGTGTGTGTGTGTGCGTGCGTGCGTGCGCGCGCGCTCTCTCTCTCTCTCTCGCAGATGCATGCATGTACGCTAGTGTTTTGCCTGCCTATGTGTTATTGCAACCTGCTGAAGCAATGCCCATGGAGGCCTTATGATGCCGAATTTCCTGTATCTGGAGTTAGAGGCACTTGTGAGCTGAATGTAGGTGCTGGAAACTTAGATCAGGGTCCTCTGGAAGAGCAGCCAGTGCTCTTAAATACTAGGTCATCTCTCCAGCCCTGATCATGCTTTGTAAATTCTCATTTCTGCTGAGGTTATTCCTCCCAGCCCCAGAGGAGAAAGTGGAAGTGGGAATATGTAAACACGATTAGACAGAGGTTATGGGTATCTCGTGCCATCACTGGCCATGCTTTAGATTTAGTTTTGCATCCCCTCTGTTTCCAAGAAAGAAATTCAGTTCTAATACATGATTTTGCACCATAGGTGGTGACCCTCCAGGGAGATACACGGTATGGAAAAACACTGATTGCCAATGATGGCACCCCTCTTGGCGTTGGCTTCCCAATGAGCATAGCTCTTGATCCTGTACGTGGGTGAGTGATACCAAGTGGTATGTATGTTCTGTCTGCACCACCCTTATCAAGGCCCTGTTCGGAAGTGTCCTGTTAACATTTCAAACTGTAGGATATGTGTCATTTGAACAATGAAGACCCCAGCGAGGAAGAGCAGGAACTCAAAATTATGTTGAATGTGAAGGATGTAATCTCTTTCTTCCTTTAAGTTCAAGTAAAGAAGAGTATTTAATGGTCCCTATGCAAGAATTTTAGTAATTAACCATGATACAAGCCTGGGTAATACATTCTGACTTAATGGACCTCGAAGGCTGAGTGGATAAAAGATTCTACTATCCAGTTTTCGGCACTATTTAAATCTTCAATACTATTCAAAATGGCCTGTAGCACTCAGATAACAGAACTCTAGAGACTGACATATATATGCAGGCAAAATTCTTCCCAAGTGATGAGTAAACATACAAAAAAGTCACTGCCTGTTGCCATACATTTAAGGTTTTTCTGTAAAACTGTATTGCCCTTATCTATTTTCTGTTTCATGAAACCACAATGCTTTTCATGGTTGTAGGAAACTGTATTGGTCAGACCAGGGGACAAACAGTGGAGTTCCTGCCAAGATTGCAAGTGCTAACATGGATGGAACATCTTTAAAAATTCTCTTCACTGGGAACCTGGAACACCTGGAGGTTGTCACCCTGGATATCCAGGCGCAGAAACTCTACTGGGCGGTCACCAGCAGAGGCGTGGTATGAGCAGCTTTAGTTTTCACTACCTGTTCACACTACTGTGTGATTCCGAATGTCTTGGGTTACTTGGTAACCTGAATCACAATGCTCTCCTTGGTATGTGCAACAACAGTCCCTCCAGAATGCTGGTTATTGTTTTTCCTATCAACCTTAGGTTTCATTCCGGATAAGCCATCACTACTTGCCATTTCTTACTTGTCCCTTCAGAGACATGGGTTAATGTTTTTAGTGATGTCATGCTTTTCTTGAAAAGACTCTAGGTTCTCCCATTGCAGAGTAGACACACACACACACACACACACACACACACACACACACACACACACACACACACACACACACACACACACGAGACTAAGCAAGCATCTCAGCTCAGCAGCTGAAGACATGGTTAGTACACATGTGAAATTTCCTCTACTGATTATTTTAAACCCTTATATGGAACCCTTTATACTTATACTCTGCAATAAGTGCACTGTGAGATCCTATTGACACTTGACCATTGCTGCTAGGCTTATGATGTTTGCCCAATGCTGCCCTGCAGAAGCAGCTTCAGGGCTTCAGCAGATTCTTCTCAGCTTCTCTAGTCACTGGCAGCTCGGAGGCTCATGATTTCTTTCTTCTAGGTTTTTGGAATTTCTGTCATTTGTGGCATATAACCTGGGTTCCCTTGTCTGTGAGGTAGCAGGCAATTCAGATCTCACTGTCTCTGTCAGTAGTGGCCAGCTGGGCTGTTGGTGCAAAACAAAGCACAAACAGACAGAATTTTGAACGCAAGTTAAACAGCTACATCCCCACACTCCCCAGAAATAGTCTACACCATAATACCCTGCTTGGCTCCCATCTAGTAGGGCTGGCCTGTAATTCTGGGGAACATGCCTCCTATCCTGGTTAAGGAAGTTGTGGGTGTAGATGTTACAGCTGGTGTCTGTCAGCTACTGCATGATAGCGCTCAGACATTTCTATGTATTCTTAAGCATGCTGTGAGTCATTGAGTGCTCTCTCAAAGACAAGAATGTTTGCCTGTTCATCATACTTGTGATGGACCAATTCAATAACATAGGTATGTAGAAATGATAGCATGCCACAGACATGCACGAGAATGTTAATTGGAACATGGGTTTCTTATTTCACTCAGTATGAATCAGGGAAATAACGAGAATTCTGGTCTCCTTCAGATCGAAAGAGGAAATGTGGATGGTACGGAGCGGATCATCCTGGTGCACCACCTGGCCCACCCGTGGGGTCTTGCGCTCCATGGCCCCTTCCTTTATTACTCTGATGAACAGTATGAGGTCATTGAAAGAGTTGACAAGTTCTCTGGGAGCAACAAAGTAATCTTGAGAGATAATATTCCGAACTTGAGGGGTCTTCGGGTTTATCACCGACGCAGTGAGTACTTGTCATACATACATCTACACAGTCTCACCCTGTCCACATGTATGTAGTTCCTGGTACATAGACATGTTTATACACTCACACCAGAAGCCTCTGTCCACAAGCAGTTCCTGGTGCATGCATGCGTATGCAGAATTACTGGGAACATTTGACAGTTAAGTGTCAGTAACTAATCTGTCATCTCAAAGGCCATAATTAGTTTCAGAATAAATTTACTCCCCTTCTTTTCTCCTAAATTTAAGTCTGACTTTGCTTGTACTTTATAACATTCACCAGCATAATACCTGTTTTTTATTGACCATGTTTCTTATGTAATAGAGCCTCCATGAGGACAGTCACTTTCTGTTTTCTTTACTGCTCTATGCCTAAGAATTTGTTAGATGAATTTTGGGACAGAATTTTTATTCTTAACAGAATACCCCCAACAAACAAATTCTTTATTTTTCTTTGTTTATCAAGACATCATCTTACTATGTGAGTAAGATCTTGAACCCATAGAAATCTGCTGGCCCCTGCTCCCACACTTTAATATTAGCTTTCTAATATTGAGTTTCTTTTTTACTTTTGACATTTTACAATTTTTAGACTTTAACCAAGGGGTGTCAACTCTTCTGTCTCCTAAATAAATAGCATATTGTGTGTGATTTAAAAGTCTTCTCTATATCCTTATCTCATAGGTTGAAAGGCAAGGGGACAAAAAGCAAACAAATTCCTGTCTTTCAGTATTGATATTAATCTGCTAATCTAGTTATTATGCATTTATTACTTTTATAGTATTTGGTTGACTCATTAAAAATGTGCTGGACTGCCAAGTACATAAGGTTACAGACTAATTTTGAATTCTTTTAGATGTTGCTGACTCTTCCAATGGCTGTAGCAACAACCCAAATAGTTGCCAGCAGATTTGCCTGCCCACACCAGGTGGAATGTTCTCCTGTGCCTGTGCCAGTGGGTTTAAGCTCGGTCCTGATCATCGCTCCTGTACTCCATATAATTCTTTCATTGTTGTTTCCAAGTTGTCTGCAATTAGAGGCTTTAGCTTGGAGTTATCTGATCATGCAGAGGCCATGGTGCCAGTGGCTGGCCAAGGTATGGGCACTCCTAATCAAGTAAAGTTTCTTCCAGCTGGTGCCAGCTCCAGTGCAGTTTTTAAACTCCAATCCATCAGAATCTTCTGGAGGGCTGTCAAACTCAGAGCTAGCTAAGTTCTATCCCTGGAGTTTGTTCACTTAGAGTTGTGGGTTGTGGCTAGAGAATCTGCATATCTAATGGAGCCAGATTTTGTTGGTTCATGAGAGATTTAGAGGGATATAAATTACATCATGGATTTTCATGAAGTATCACAAAGTGGGTGCTTAAGAAAACTGTTCTGTATTTCTGTTAATGAGGTATAAGCTGAAGGTATCCTATTACTTATTAGTATATATTTGGTGAAGTGATTAAAAGAATTCAGTAGTAGTCCCCAATAATCATATTTTTCTTTCTTTCATTTTTTTTTTTTGAGACAAAGTCTCAGCCCTGGTTGACCTGAAACCCACTATATAGACCAGGCTAGCCTTAGACTCACAGAGATCCACCTGTTTCTGCCTCCTGAGTGCTGGGAAGGATTATGTGAATGTAAACAATAACTTGTCTCTTGATATGCCAAAGTGTGGGGCAGTTTATGAGCACACGAAGAGTTTCCTAGCACCGTGAGGATCATGCAGGAATATTGAGAACACCAAGGGGCGTGTTGGAGCTTGTTAGAAGAGTGTCTGCTCAGCAAAGGGCCATGAATTTGCTCCCCAGCATCGCAAAACCAAACCAACAACAAGAAGGAAACACACTCAGGGGAAGCAAACTTCTACTCCTATTAAATCCCAACAATTCGGTAGCCTTGCCAAGGCAATAACAGCAGCAGTTGACCTGTGAGTGCGGACAGTGGAAATCTCACAAGGCCCCTTCCCTAGATGAGGAATTGCTGAGAGAACGAGAGTTAGTTTTTTCAAGGGATGAGCCCCCTAATTGTTTATCCAGATTAAGTGGTCAGTGCATATGAGCAACACTCAGCAGACTCAGCAGTTTGTAGAATAAATATATGTATCAGGTAATAATAATAATAATAATAATAATAATAATAATAAAAGAAAAAGAATATAGAGAAGTACACTATGATAATAGGGGGTGGAATGCTAAAAAATCAGTTGGCTGATTTTTCTCAAATGTTCTAGGACGAAACGTTCTGCATGTGGATGTGGATGTTGCCTCTGGCTTTATTTACTGGTGTGATTTTAGCAACTCTGCGAGATTCTCTAACGGAATCCGTAGGATCAAACCCGATGGGTCTAATTTTACCAACATCGTTACCTATGGCATAGGAGCAAATGGAATCCGGGGCATTGCCGTGGATTGGGTAGCAGGTACGTGATCTGGAGCCTTCTTCCTTTCATCGCTGTCGTGCAAATTCGTTTTTTCCACACAAATGTATAAGATCATTTAAGATCTAGGCTGTGCACTCATTAAATGAAAGATGAGGTATTGTAGTTGACAGACTAGTTATCGATGAATCACTTAAGCAGGAATATATCAAATTGTGGTTTAGTAATTTTTGTCCTAAGGTTGACAGCAAATTTCTAGATTAGAATTATTGAAGTTATGAAGAGGAAAGGCATTCACTTACTTTAAAGCCAAGCAATTGTAGTTGCAGATTCTTTTTCTTTAGTTTTCGTATTTCTTGACATTTTAGTGTAATTATGTAATTTCCCCCTTCCTCTCCTAACTTCAAACTCTGCCATATACCCCTCCCCATTCTCTTTCAAATTCATGGCCTCTTTTGTCAATAATTGTAATTGCATGCACATTCTTGCACATTCTACACTCTTTTTAAACTTTTTAAATTGATTCTGTAGTGTGACACAGTGAGTCACACATTAAGTTTTCCACACATATTCACTTGCAAGTGTTCATTGCAATGAGTCATTGGTCTGGTTCAAGGCTTCTGCTGCATTGTCCATGCTGGGCCCTCACTGGGACTCTACCTGCATATCCTGCTGTTGCCCTGGAGATCCTGGAGCTTTGGATCAGCAGGTCCTGCCTCTTCACATGCTGTAGCAGCTCATAGATGAGGTGGCTGCTGGGGGTGGGCCAACTCATAGCCCTGGTTCTGATTCTGGGGGTAGCTGGATTGGTCAGCCTGTCAGTTTCCATCACCATCACCACCAGGGTGAGCTCTCTAGCATTGCCCAGGCTAGCTCACTCAATATAGCAGGCAGCAATGAGCAGGATCAGTTCCCTTTCTCACCAGTGTCCCACTACCAGTGCCAGCTCTACTGTTTTACCCAGGTGCAATGCAGGGCTACTTTCTTGTGTGCTGTATTTGATGATGGACAGGGCCAGCTTTCCCACTCTCATGTCCCCCAATCCAGCTCTTCCTCCTGCTGCAGGTGGCAAGGGGTATAGGGAGAGGGAATTTTTCCCTCACTCATGCCACCAGATGGCATATGAGGGGGTGACAGGGTCAGCTCTCCTAGTCTCACACCCTCAGGCTGGATCACTTGTGCCATCAACAGGGTCGGGCCTACAGTGCTGCCCACGTGAGGTGCAGGGCCCACTTTGTGACGGTAGTTGCAGATTCTTTTTTTGCTTTGTTTTGTTTTGTTTTTGTTTTTTTTCGAGACAGGGTTTCTCTGTGTAGCTTTGAAGCCTATCCTGGCACTATCTCCTGCCTCTGTAATCCGAAGGCAGGAATATGAAGAGTTGAAAGCATCCTCAGTTACATAGTGAGTCCACGGCAAGGCTGAGATAACGGAAACCTCATTTCAACAAGCAAACAAACAAGCAATCAAAGCCTGGAATACTATCTGACGCTATTTGAGATGAGCACCCAGTATCACCAGCACCCCATTTAAAATACAATTAGTTACATGTTTCACATTGCACTAATTTCTCTGAATATGTTTTAAGGCATATTGAGGAACAATATGTGCACAGTAAAAAATAGTACAATAACTGATTTTACACGGAATCAGTAATTTAGGATCTAGCATTCTCTACTCTTTATACTGCATTCATTTTATAGTATTTCACATGGTTGGTATGTTATTCTAGAATTTATATTATACTTTACTACCAAAAGGAAGTGGATTTTTGGATTTGACAGCTTTTAGAAAGTCAATGGATAGAAACATCTAGTTAGGAAGCCTTAGAAAAGACTTCACATTGATCTTGTGTACAAAGAGATTTGAGAACATGGACTTCTTTAGGCTACGCTATATACCATGATAAAGTGTATTTAGAGTCTTTGATATGTTAAAGAAAACACTTTTAGTAGGAAGTGAGTTGTGATGTTGCAAAGCTGACTGAATTCTCATATGAGTGAGAAGGAAGCTGAGGATTTTTGAGAAAATAAAAATTTCTCTAAATTTCAAAAAGTACTCTCTAATTCTCAGACATAAATGTTTATATTTATAAACTTATGAGTGACATTTATTGCCTTGGAAAAGACAACATATACTGATCACACCTCAATCTTACATTATTATATTTGGAAATGGTGTATCCTATTTTTTCTTCTCCTTGGTTTTCCATTCATCAGCGTTCTCTCTTTTTTTTTTTTTTCTGTAGGAAATCTTTATTTCACCAATGCTTTTGTATCTGAAACACTGATAGAAGTGCTACGGATCAATACCACCTACCGCCGTGTTCTCCTTAAAGTCTCTGTGGATATGCCTAGGCATATTGTTGTTGACCCCAAGAGTAGATACCTCTTCTGGGCTGACTATGGGCAGAAACCAAAGATTGAACGCTCTTTTCTTGACTGTACCAATAGAACTGTACTTGTTTCTGAAGGCATTGTCACCCCTCGGGGCTTGGCAATGGACCACAGCACTGGCTATATTTATTGGGTTGATGACTCCTTAGATATAATTGCCAGGATCCATCTTGATGGAGGAGAGTCTCAAGTGGTTCGTTACGGCAGTCGTTATCCAACTCCTTATGGCATCACTGTTTTTGGAGAGTCTATCATCTGGGTTGATAGAAATTTGAAGAAAATCTTCCAGGCTAGCAAGGAACCAGGGAATACAGATCCACCTGAAGTGATAAGAGACAATATCAACCTGCTACGGGATGTGACCATCTTTGATGAGCATGCCCAGCCCCTCTCAGCAGCAGAGCTTAACAACAACCCTTGTTTGCAAAGTAATGGCGGATGTTCCCACTTCTGCTTTGCTCTACCTGAATTGTCTACCCCCAAATGTGCGTGTGCCTTTGGGGCTTTGGAAAACGATGGCAAGAGCTGTGCTACCTCACGAGAAGATTTCCTCATCTATGCCTTGAACAATTCCTTGAGAAGCTTACACTTTGACCCTCAAGACCATAGCCCACCTTTCCAAGAAATGAATGTGGGAAGAACTGCCATTGCACTGGATTATGACCGGAGAAATAATAGAATCTTCTTTACACAGAAACTAAACTCTGTCAGTGGCCAGATTTCCTATGTAAGCCTGTATTCAGGGACCAGCTCTCCAATTGTCCTACTTTCAGGTACGTGCATACTAGGTGGAGGTTTACCTTGTCAGTAGATATAAGGAAGTCAGTATACTGAATATTCTTAATGCACATTGATATTCTAACATCTTCATGCTTGTGTGCCTTTACTTGTCTGTATCCAGATATAGGCATTATTGATGGGATTGCCTTTGACTGGATAAATAGAAGAATTTATTACAGTGACTATTCAAACCAGACGATCAATTCCGTGGCTGAAGATGGGTCTAATCGTGCTGTGATAGCCCATGTTCCCAAACCAAGAGCGATTGTATTAGATCCTTGCCGAGGGTATGCCACAGTCTTCTTGATTTATCTGCCTAATGGAGTGGGGACCAGAAATTATGTGTACATAGGGAATAATAATACTCTCTGAGCTTATACAGAAACAGCTTGAAGTGATTTTTACATGGTCTGACTCAGTGCATCCACTTTTAATGTAGTGTGAAAAGGAATGGAGTACTCTTTACTTACAAATTGATGGTTATTTGCAATTAAATAATGTTGCCACAGTGAAAAGTGGAAAGGTCTGTAAAGGCTTCCTTGTTGTGAATTAACTTTGTCTTCTGTTTGATGACTAGGTACATGTATTGGACTGACTGGGGTACTAATGCCAAAATTGAGAGAGCCACACTGGCAGGAAACTTCCGGGTGCCCATCGTGAATACTAGCCTGGTTTGGCCCAATGGCCTCACTTTGGACCTTGAGACTGACCTTCTTTACTGGGCAGATGCTAGCCGGTAGGTGTCTCTCCTGTGGGTTGCTTAACATAATGAGAATGTGATAAACCAGAGAGAGATTGTCTAAATATAGAATTAAAGTTTTAGGAACCTATTTTATGTTCTAGTATTGTGACTGTATCCTAAGACATGTAAATCTGCATCCCTAGGTGTAACTATGATTATAATGGTATAACTCCATTTCTGACTGACTATAGGCCTTAGATTTGAATAAGGTGTCTGTTGGTTTGGGGGGCCTCTTTTCAAACCAATGCTTTCTCTCTGGTGAACTTTTTTTTTTTAAGCAAATTCCACTTTACAACTTCCTTATAAGCACTTGTAATGCAATTATGGGATGTCTTCAAATAAGCACATTGCAGTCATCTGGATGGAAGAGTTCAAGGGGTTTTGTTCATTACAGTTATTTATCTACATTTTTATTCTCTTGCAGATTTTGGTTTTGTGATGAAATATTCTGATTTTTCCCCCTCATTCACTCATTTGAACCACATAAGTGATATTTTTGTGGTATTCTAAGTAAATTCCTCAAAATAATCAAGATCATTAAATTGTGTTCACTCCAGGCCCCATGCAGTATGTGAATCTGTTCATGGACCACCCCAGCTTCTCATACTAGCCTGGCTCTTTCTAAATGATATATGTAGGCCAGCGTGTGATAAACAAATAGGACTTCCTATCAACAAGAAGGAAACACATGCCATGCACCACATATGTCTGCCCCACTTGAATAGCCATTGGAGGCAGCATAAATAACTGCTAGGCCTAATCATTATGACTCTTTCTCCACTTTACAAATTGCTTTTCTTTTTCTTTGTTTCAGGCAGAAGATAGAGCGTAGTTCTCTCACAGGCACTAACCGTGAAGTCATCGTCAGCACTGCCTTTAATTCCTTTGGCTTGACTGTCTATGGCCAGTACATTTACTGGACAGACTACTTCACCAGAAAAATCTACCGGGCCAACAAGTATGACGGGTCAGATCTGATTGCAATGACCACTCGTTTGCCAGTCCAGCCTAGGGGTATTTCCAGAGTTCTCAAGAACCAGCCGCAACAGTGCAGCAACCCTTGTGATCAGTTTAATGGAGGATGTAGCCATATCTGTGCACCAGGTAAAGGGTTGAGCAAGAACATGAAAACTAGAGTAGAGTGACAATGACAGCAACAATGTTGACACTTGGTAAGGGAGCCCGTGAGCATATTGTTTCCAAGAAGAAAACAGACTGAAATTCTTAATTGCAGGTTAATTGAGGGTTATATTTTGAGAGAGTTGCAGTGTGGTTTTCTCTTGTGCTCTTCATGGATTGGTTTTGTAAAGGCAGTTTAAGTGGAAGCTTGTTGCGGGGAAGGAGTAAGATGTTCTTGACTTGAACAGGCATTCTATTAATGTAGTTTTTCTGTTTATTAGATATAGTTTATAGTTTTATAGTTAAATGTGAGGACAGTTTCATAGGAATATGAAATATTGTGTTGTAGGTGTGTAGCAGTTATTTTTACTGGAAGGACAGCTCAGAATATAGTTGAAAGGTGGATGGTGTTTCATTTCTAAATGCCATCCTGGTTCCTATGCTTATGCTTTGCTTCTCTCTGCCTCACCCCAGGTCCAAATGGTGCCGAGTGTCAGTGTCCACATGAAGGCAGCTGGTATCTGGCCAATGATAACAAGTACTGCATCATGGACACAGGTTCCCGATGTAGTCAGTCTCAGTTCACCTGCCTCAATGGGCGCTGCATCATTGAGGATTGGAAATGTGATAATGACAATGACTGTGGTGATAACAGTGATGAGCTGCAGACTCTCTGTGGTAAGCTGGACTCAGTGTTTTTGTTAGGAGTCAAGATGTCATTTTGCAACTGTTTGGCACAAAATCCTACTGTGTTTGGTCACCTCTGTGTGTATATGAGTAAAGTCATTAGATTAAAATCCTGGCATTAACATTTATAGTCTCTGAATAGACTGGAAACATTACCTAGACTCAAAGGTCTATAAAACTGAGTGGTCACCAGGGATCTTGTAAGAGAGCAGGCTGTGGGGCCTGACAACATGGTACTAAGGGCACCAGTGGGAAAGCACTATCATTTTATTACGTTGTTCCTGACTGTCCATCAGTGGAGTAAGACACAGTGGACTTCCAAGGGGTTTTGGAGTTGGGTACCTTTCTCTAGCAGTGTGCCTTTGCACACTTTACAATATACAGAAATGAGTTAGTTGCTCACTTAAAGTGGTTTGTTCATTTGAAATATAGTGCATAAAATATTCGGCATCCAGTTTGCCTTTCAGACATTCCTATCTCAGGAGGTAGACAAATTGTAACTCTAGGAAGATACGGAAAGTTATCTTCTTTCAACCTCTTTTCTTCCTCCTTTCTTCCTCTTAGCCTTTCACACGTGCCCATCTACAGCCTTCACTTGTGCCAATGGGCGATGTGTTCCCTATCGCTATCGTTGTGATTACTACAACGACTGTGGCGACAACAGCGATGAAGCAGGGTGCCTGTTCAGGAACTGCAACAGCACCACCGAGTTCACTTGCAGCAATGGGAGGTGCATACCCCTTGATTTTGTTTGCAATGGCATAAACAACTGTAATGATAATGGAACCTCAGATGAGAAAAACTGCCGTAAGTATGTCTCACTTTAGGACACGGGAGATGAAATTTTCCCCTAAGAACTATTGCTTTCTGGAAAAAGAAAAACTAAAGTGTTACAAGTCGCTAAACGATTTAAGAGATACATCTACCTAATATTTGAGTTGTTTACTTAACTTGATGGATCTGTATGTGCCTGCTAGATTTAACACTCACCTCATGAACCTGTTTCTCTGCCACCCCAGAGCCAACTTGGGACTCTATTTACCACTGCTCACAGGAGCTGCTCCTTTCTGCTCACTTTGATCAGGCCACCCTGTGGTTTGGACCCTTCTCTGGGTCTGGTAACATTGACTTTGTTTATAGCGTATTTGATAGTTCGGTTCCAAACGTCTATCTGATTTTGTCTTTTAAAAGCTCCCCGTACTTGCCTGCCTTCATTCACAAAATGCCAGACTACAAATATTTGTGTTCCCCGAGCTTTCCTGTGTGATGGAGACAATGACTGTGGAGATATGAGTGATGAAAACCCCATTTACTGTGGTGAGTATGTAAGGTTCAAAAGTCTCTGTGATTCCAGAAGAGTGACTGTACCTCAGAGAAATGTGCTGGTTTGGAAGTAGATGTGGAAGGCAGTTGCTTTAAGGTGTGAGTGGAAGGATATAAGAAGTCCCATGCCTCAAATATATTTCTCTGGAAACCCATGGAGCTTGAGTAACATAGTTTATTAAAACAATTTCTTCTATGAACAGTGGAAGTGAAAAGATCTTCCTTAAGCTTGACTTTGAGAATAACGTATATTTTAATATTTTACCAATTCCTTGTAGTTGAATTTCTGATCCCACCCTCAGGAAACCACAGGCCAGCACAAAAATCTGCCAGAGAAGTAATCAGGTACAGCAGTAGCAGCAGCACAAACAACTAAAATTCATGTTGTAGTATCTCATAGGGCTGGGCAAGTTGGAGTGTCTGCTTTCCCAATAAATGTTCACTGGCAAATCCACCAGTTATTATGGGCCAGGCAGGGAGAGCCTTGTAATAGTAGAAGGACAAGACTTCATTTGGGACAATATTATTCATTTTAATATTTGCACCCATACATTAGAATCTAACATGACCATAGCCATGTAAGGTTCAAAAGTAGCAGTCTCTCATTCACCCTAACAATTCTGAGTTACAATGAATAGGTAAGAATTTTGCTAACTTTTGAGAATTATGATTAGGAGGTTGTGGTGAGGGACAGAATTGATATTAATATTTTAATAAAATTCACTTAATTAAAAAGTCAAGCTGGTGGCACATAACCTTTAATCCCAGCACTTGGGAGATAGAGGCAGGAGGATCTCTGAGTTTGTGGCCAGCCTGGGCTACATAATGAGTTCCAGGACAGGCATGGCTACAGAAAGAAGCCCTGTCTTGAAAAACCAAAATGATAAATAAAATAATAAATAAATAATAAACCAAATAAGCAAGAAAAAAATCAAGACTTATACAAAATTTTCTACCACAAAGACAATTCTTTGGCATTTTACATATTTTATTATCTAATCAAAATCAATAAATTATTGGGACACAATCTCGCTATTTCACTTAGGCTGTCCTTTCACTCAGTGTTCAGTGATGTTCCTGTCTTAGCCTTGTGAATAGCTGAGACTTTTACTTGTATCTCATATTTGTGGAGTCTTGAACAAAAATCCAGGAGAACTTGGAAATAATTCCCTCTTGTATCTTATGCTCATTCATCCCTGTAGAAGCTTATTGAAAAGGCCATTTCCCAAGCCCAGCCTTCCTTTTCTGGCAGCAATTAACCAGTTTAAAGATACAGGCAGATGGTCAGCAGATGGGAGCCTGCTTGTGTTCTAATCTTGTGCCTGTCCTGTAGCCTCGCAAACATGCAGCAGCAGTGAGTTCCAGTGTGTCTCCCCTCGGCGCTGTATTCCAAACATTTGGTTTTGTGATGGTGAAGCCGACTGTGCTGACCAGTCTGACGAACCTTCCTCTTGTGGTAAGAATCAGCAACCGTGAGAAGCTTAGGGTGCAGTTAGAGCAACTGGGGATCCTATCACATTTCAAACGCTGGAGCTACACAGCTAGGCGCTCGCCCTCCTGCTCCCAGAAGGGATGCCAAAACCATTCCGTGGGTGTTCATCAAAAGGCTAGTGCAGGGAATAGGGAAGCTGTTAGTTGACGCTGATGAAGCGGGGATGGTGATGCATCCAGTAGATTGCCTGGCTTGCAGAGCTCAGTTGTAGCTGACTCGCAGTGGGAGTTCGTGAATCTTTGTCTGAGCCTTTTAAGATCGTAGGAGGATCTAAAAGTGACTGGAGTCTTCACATACACAGGGAAGGGCATGTAGCAGGCCCACTTTGTTTTCTCCTACATCAGTTTGTGGAGCAAGGTGCCCCGGCCCGGCCCTTTTGAGTACCTGACAGCATTTGTACGTTATTTTTTATTCAAAGACTGCTATTTACCTTTACATATTCTTATAATTATTTATAAGTCACTGTAAGGGTTAAAAGTTATGATTTCTGGTTGCTTTTTTAATCTGTCAGAAAATCATATTATGATGTAGGATTTGAAAAGTGCGGCTGTGGACCAGGGACTTGTCTTTATAGATGAATGTTGCCACATATCAATCCATGGTTACTTTCTTTGCTGTAATGGCAATACCAACTAGGTGTGACAGACATGCAGCCCCAAAGACACATCAATATTCCAACATTAGAAAAAGTCCTTTCATCCCTAGGTATAGTTTTCATACTCCTCTTTAGTGATATATCGTATTCCTCAGAGTGAAATTATTATTATTTTCTTTTTTTATCGAAAATCCATTCCCAATTATGTATTTTAATCTTCTCCATCTGTGCCAGAACATCAAACCTTTCGATTGCCACTAAGTTATCAAATAAGCAATATATACTTACATGTCCAAAAACAAACACTTGGCTCCTATACCTTATCTGCTCCAACTTTTCCCAGTTTAGTAAATGATGAATTTTCTTATAGCTTAGAACATAAAGCAACCAATCACATTTATATGAGTTGTTTTGGTGAACATTAGTTTCTCTTGGTGAATTGGATTCAGAGGTCATTTCTTCTCTTAATATTAAGCATCATTAAGTTTATTTACCACTCAATCAATGGACCTGTCTCCTACCAAGGGTTTACAAAAGAATGGGGCATGGCCTACTTCAATACAGAACCCTGTAATTTCTTTAACCTCTGTTGGTGGTGTTTGGTCAGAAAACTCTCCATATAACCTCTTTCACCAGCTGGTCACTTACATGCTTCTGAGTTCTAATCTTATTTACACATATACATGCACATGCACAGGCACAGAGTGGAATCATTAAGCATTTAGATTTATTTTTCCTTATAGTATTACACTATATAGCATCATATAAGCCTTTTGTCTGGGGTGTCATTAGCATAGTTCTAGAGTTAAATTCATGCGTATTTCCATTGACTTTTGCAAAGTTTAATTCTGTCACAGGGAGCATTGAGGTTCATATATATATATATATATATATATATATATATATATTTTTTTTTTTTTTCTTACCTCAACACCAAAAAATGTGTAGAAGATAAAGAGAATTTTGAGAGTCTGTAGCCAAAAATAACAACTGTTACTGGAGTATATAACTTGGAAATTAATTCTAATGCTTATTTTAAAATATATAATCCTCTCTGTAATAAGCCAGTAATAGTGCCCATATATCTCATATTTGCACTTTAATTCACTATATTTTCCCTAAATCAATTGGTTGTGATGTACGTCTCACTGGCAGCCTTCTGTCCATACAACTTATACTTTGTACTTCACTATTTTCCCCTGAATCTCTCAGGTATGATATGCACCTCACTGGCAGCCTTATTTCATGTTATATTGCTGCACTATAAACCACTCTTGTGTCTTTCCACAACATTTGTAAAATCAGTTCAAAGATCTGACAGCTGTGACTCTTCATCTATTCCTGATGTATATGAGAGGAAGATTCTCATCGACATAAACCAGATTTGAACATCCTTGAGACAAGCTAAAAAGTGGACATCCCAGTCTTTTCATTGACTGTTTCTCTCTTTTCAGCTCCGACTGTGAACACTTGCACGGCTAACCAGTTCAGGTGTGACAATGGCAGGTGCATCTCAAGTACTTGGGTCTGTGATGGTGACAATGACTGCGGAGACATGAGTGACGAGGACCAACGGCATCAATGTGGTAAGTGAAGTCAGGTTAATTCTCATACCCAGGAAACTCAGAGTTGATGGTTGGAGCATCCAACTGTTTAATCGGATGCACATCATCACATGCTTTACAATGATGCGAAATTACTTGATGCTCATTTTCACTCACATTTGGCTAATGGAAATTCTGTCTTAAATTTCTAGAGTAGTTGAAGGGAACTCAGCTGATCACCCAGGAAGCCCCAGGGTTGGGAAGCTGTAGTATTCATCAATGAATTACTAAGTACCATTATTTTTTTCAATCAGTATATTTTGATCATATTCTTTCCCCTTCAACTCCTCTCAGATCCTCCCAGTTTCTTAACTGAGATACTATCTGCAACTGATACTCTAATGGAGTGTAAGTAGGTATATCAACACTCTATGACAGGCTCCCTGCCCAGGAGTAGTTAGGTGGCCAACACAAATGAACTCAGTGGAATTTTTATGGATTTTTGTTTCATTTTGCTTTGTTTTTTTTTTTTTTTTTTTTTTTTTTTTTTTTTTTTTTTTTTTTGTCTTGGTCTTTTGTCTATTTTTGGTTTTCTTACTTTCGCTTTTTAAAAATTTTGTTTCTTATCTTTTTTTTCTGATTGGGTAGGGGTGTGGAGAGGATCTAAGAGCAGCTGGGGGAGGGGGTATGATTAAAATATACTATAGGAAAACTTTTATCTGTGTAGCCTTGGATGTGCTGGAAGTCATGCTGTAGACCACGCTGGTCTTGAACTCACAGAGATCCTCCTGCCTCTGCCTCTCATGTGCTGACATTAAAGAAGTGTGTCACCACCACCCAGCAAATAAAAACTAATTTAAATGAAAGAAAAGAAGTGTTTTTATACCCATAACATTGTTTTTTTAATTTTTTTGTTTCCAGCAAAATATGAAGATGCTGCCCAAGGGGCTTTAGCATCATGTCTTTCCCTCTAAGAACAGCAGGGGCAGAGTTTGCTGAAGCTTGGACACAACTCTACATCCCTTCTGTCACTGATGACTTACTGGAACTATTTTCTCTCTTTTTCTTTTGTGCCTTGTTTTGTGGTGGGATTAGACAAGGCATTAATGATTCTGAATCAGTATCTCATCTCTTGCTCACCTCCTCATGCCACACTGACAACTCTGACCTCTCTTAAACTGTTTGTTTGTGGGTGCTTGCTATGTGTATTGAGAAGCCCCAGCTTTAGAGGAGAAAGAGCCATCTCTTTGTCCTTTTGGCTCTTGTCTGACTTTGAGATGTCATTTCTCACCCATCAAATTGGTAACAAAATACTAATCTCATTTTTCCCTTGTATGATTACACAGTAGGATATGAAGAATGTTGACAAAATTTGTTAGAATTTTTAAAATGGGAGTAGTTTTCTGAAGTGTTATACATTATGGAAAAACTAAGTGGAGTTTTTTTTGTGTTGATGTTTTGCTTCATGTGACTTGACTGTCCTCTTCATTCTTGTTTCTTTTCACCCTTAAGAGTGACAGTCTCCAAAGCCACAGAGAAAACCCTGTCTCGATAAAAGTGTTAAAGACTACAAGAGAATTTCCGAGCTCTGAGAGATTCTTGTCTGCTTTGGTTTCAGAGATTAGGAACTGCTCAGCTTCCCAGTTTGCCTGTAGAAATGACAGAACTTCGAACAGGAGGTGCATCCCACTATCCTGGGTCTGTGATGGTGATGCAGACTGTAGTGATGGCCTTGATGAGCTGCAGAACTGCACCAGGAGAACCTGCTCCGCAGGAGAATTCACCTGTGCAAACGGACGGTGCATCATGCAATCTTTCCGGTGAATTGGGATTCAAACATTTTTCTCTACACCCCAAATATTCATGAGGGCAGGACTGACTCACACATTAGGCACAATGGTCACAGGGCCTATTGCTCGTGACATTCTTGGCTATCTGAGAAGATATTTGGATTCCTTTGACATCAGATTTTTTTTAAAAATTTAATATGTAACATCAATACACCTTTTATCAACATGGTAATTTATGTGTTTTGTGGATGACATGGTCCAAGAAGACCCTAGAGTTCATGAAAGCCATAACATGGCCTCCCTCCAAAAGGCAGCGAAATGATTGACTTTTAACCTGACACGAGCCTTTTAGTTTTCCACTTGGGACCAGGCCTGTATATAAGAACTGTTTTTCTCTTTGCTCTCTACTATAAGAAAAATAACAGTTCCAACAAGCACAGCTTGGCTCAGAGCAGCTAAGATTGTAGAATGTCGGGTGGAAAGTCCAAAGCTTCTGAAATCTTTTTTCTGGGAAAAGATTGGAAACACAGATTCTCATGCAGAATATAAATTCTTAACACTGTGTGTCCTAAATAGATTCAGCTCACAGCTTGCTGGTTTGGGGTATTCTGTAATTCCATGTGGAGTGACTTCTTATCCTAATGGGTCTCTTTTATAGTGCCCATATGTGTAGTAAGTCTTTGGCTATAGAGGGAAGTTTAGAAGGGATAAAGAGACTAAATAGAAGCCTCAATCAAAATAAAACAACCTCGACAAGAGTTCGCTGATGGAACACTGTAGAACGTTCCTAGATGAACATAGATATTGAGCATTTTGTGGACATAGAAACAGGTGGATTTCTATGAGTTTGAGGCCAGTCTAGCATACAGGGTGAGTTCCAGGACAGCCAGGGCTACACACAGAGAAACCCTGTCTCAAAAAATCCAAGGGGAAACCCCTCCCCCCTACACACACAAAAACAAATCAAAGCATTTGGATACATGAACTGAAACGTAGAAGAGATATTGTTCCCAAAGGGCTAAATTTAAAGCACAAGGGTTATTGAGAGCACCAGGAACCTTCACACTACTATAGAAGGAGATTGAAAGGACAAACAGGAAGTGTTTTTGTGGGTTGAAGCCCAGATAGCCATCACTGAACTGGTGCAGTTTGTGCCCTGGTGCTGGTTGGGTAGAGAAGTGAATCATCTTCCTACCTGGTTAAGGGTTTTACTCCTAGCATACAGCAAGTAGTCAGTACCATCCATCATTCTTGGATGTGAATATATTCTGAAAACCCAGGGCTTTTTTTTGATTGGCACTTCCCTTCCTGTGCTCTGCTTTCATCATCACTGTCTCTTTTTCTGGCATTCCCTCATTCCTTTCAGTCTTGTATTTATTCTCTTTCTGAACTGCTTTTGTCACTACCATAGCAGAATAAGGAAACAAAGCAAGACAAAATAAAGCAACTGTTCTCTGGAAACCAGAGATATAGGGCCCATGCTCTGTATATACAATCTGAGTGACTCCAGAAGTGAGTGTACATCCTCTTGCTTGGCAGAGTATGTTCCTCCATTTGGCAGTGTGGGACAAGGGAACATTGCAATTGTGCTTGGCGAGACAAGTTATGCCAGGAATACTTGCTGAAATAATGGGATGCAATTGTGTCTGGAAATCTGGTGATTTAGTTCTATTCCACGTCTCTCCTGAGTCAGAGGAAAACATTGCTGTCTCAGACCACTTGGGCATTATTTGAATTTGAATGTTAAGTGGGCTAAGCCAGTTTGTTTTGACTGAGGCTTTGTCACAGATCTATGCATACATTCTATTTAGGTCTAAGTTGTGTTGGCAGTAAGAACCCCAGGTTCATGATGGCAGCTCTAGTTAGTAGACATGGACAGTGCACAGCTGTTAAAATTGACTAGGTTCATCTTTGGTGCCTTAATATCTCATGGTACTCTGCCTCTGGCTCCTCTCCCTCCTCTATTGTTTAGTGAATTATCAAATATTTGCTTTGTGTACATTTATCCTAAATTCTTTTATACATATGACCAACAGTCACCATGACCCTGTTCAGCAAACATAGCTTTTTATGGGATCTTAGGATATCCTAAGGAATATACACCAGTATGGCTCATGCTATATCAGGAAACTGTGTCATCCTTAGGAACCTGGGAATGTTAGGTATCAGAATTAGGAATACAACATACACTCTTCCTTTGCCACTATTTCTAGCTAATCTACTGGTTTTATTCTCCTTCCCATTACCATAACTAACTCACATATCATGACTGGTAGAATTATATGAAGGGATCTGCCAATGCAAACATTACCCCAGTGGGAAGATAGATTTTCTGAAAAGATATATTCAACAACAATTATATAGGACACAGAATTCATGCTAAGGACTTCTATACATCGTGTCTATCTGGAATAGTCCCAGTGTTCATAAGCTATCCCACAATTTAGAAATGTATGAGTCATATTAATTTACCACAGTGAGCGAACAAATTTGTAGCCATATTTGTTATGCAGCCACTGGCACCAGGGGAAGTTGTGTAGAATGTCATGGATTGTTTCAGAGCTGGAGATTGATGGATATTTTGTAGGTAGAAGGCTAAGGCGTTGTCATCTTGTTAAAATGGTCACTGTGGCTCTGCAATTCACAACACAGTTGCGATCGGCGTGATGACTGTGGGGACTACAGTGACGAGAGAGGCTGCTCATACCCCCCCTGCCGTGACGATCAGTTTACCTGTCAGAATGGACGATGCATCTCAAAGTTCTTTGTCTGTGATGAGGACAATGACTGTGGAGATGGGTCGGATGAGCAGGAGCACCTATGCCATACCCCGGAACCCACATGCCCACCTCATCAGTTCCGTTGTGACAATGGACACTGCATTGAGATGGGGAAAGTCTGTAACCATGTGGACGACTGCTTGGACAACAGCGATGAGAAAGGCTGTGGTGAGTACAAGGTGGAGCAGGGAACTGTGTATGTAGATTCTCACCCCTTTAAGGTCTCTCAGGACTTTCCAATCTGTCTTCTATCTACAAAGAAAATTTACCCCAAAAAATTACCATTGCTTACATACTAATAGGTAAAGGTTTCTTGGTATATGTAGAACAATATTCAGGGTGTTCAATAAGGCACCCAGAATGCAGAGAACATGGTGGTTCTCCTAGGATTCTCAGATTGAGTTATTGACTTGCTCTTCATTTTCATCTTTGAAGACTGGAACCAAATGTAAGGAAGCTAGCTAAAAATTTATATAATGAATTCTTCCTGTTTCAACTTACTACTACCAATGGCTCATACTGTCTTTGGAGTTTATTCATGATGACATTCCTGTGACAAAATTTAAATGGCTTAAAAAAAATGTATCCATTTTTCTTCCACCACTGGTTCATTGCCAGTTATTATCAAATACATTTGCCAAATTCACTCAAAGTAAGTAAGTATGTGGAGAATCCAGAATGAAAATGCTATGGAGATTTGGGGAAGTGAACATATATGTATATCATTCATTATTTGCTGCAGTACACAAAGCAATTCTATGTTTTAATCAATATTAAAAATTCAATTTACAAAGATATGTTTTATTTAGATGACACACATGAATATGGTGAAGTTTTTAATATTTAGTTTTAATGAAGAGTCCCATTTCATTTATTTATTTATTTTATTTTGAGATGGCCTCACTTTGTAGCTCTGACTGGCTTGGAACTCAATGCGTAGACCAGACTGTCCTAGCAGTCATGGAGCTCTGCTTGCCTCCACCTCTCAAGTGCTGGTATTTAAGACAGGCATCTTACTATGTAGCTCAGGCAATCCTCTTCCTTCAGCCTTTGAAGTGTTGGGATTACAGGCTTGCAGGCCATCTCTGGTGCTCTGTAGGAACCAAAGAACCCAATTTTAAATGTTTGGTTTGAAAAGGAATGACCACTTACAAACAAGCCTACTAAAACACCCAGACTCATGGGTTTTGCAAGTATGTGTTCTTCTGGTGGTGGGAGAGAGGGGAGGGAGAGGAGGGACACTGTTACAGTGTCAGTGCTGGGATACCTGTCTTTGAGCTTGTTCCACCCCATAAGGCAAATGCATCCATCACATTGGTAGCGATTCATCCGGGTGTGGGTTTCACACCACAGAAATGGAAAGATATTACAAGTGAGAGTCCCGGGGCTCCTCTTGTCTTCTGTTTCTTTCCTCATCATTTTTTTTTTTAAGCTTACTGAGAACTGGGCCTAGTCGTTTGTGACTAATGTTCCAGCTACTTGGGAGACTGATACAAGATGATTTTAGCTTAGGAGTCCAAGAATATGTCAACTTGAAAGTACTGGTTGTATTAATTGCTAAAATCTTGGTGAAGGGCTGAGCTGGGTAGAGTGTGCTGAATATCCTATAATTTTGTTCCAACAACAAAAGAACCTGGAAAAATGAATGGCAGTTATTAATGCATATCACACTGTTAATATTAATGTATAAATCCATGTGTGCATGTATTATTATTAAAAAATTTCAAATGTGCTGTAAACACATTTGAAAAGAAAGTTTACTGTGTTACACAGAAATTAACAGCCTTATTAGACTTTAAACATTAAACTTAGTTTTTCTCCGGTTTTAAGTATGTTTAAATAGTTTTAAATGTGATGTGTTATCTAGGTGAGTTTGATTATAGAAACTTAAGACATTGTGTAAATAATTAGAGAGTATGCTAGGGAGGAAATTGAAAAATTACTGACTTGAAAATCCCAGCGGCCTCTCTTATTTGTGATTCGTTAAGACTTGGCACTGTCTAGTAGGAATACTGATTTTGAGTGTAACTGTGGGCTCATGGTTAGGTTAGGTTCTCTAGTAACTGTCTTTTGCTCGCAGGCATTAATGAGTGCCAGGACACTTCAATCAGTCGCTGTGACCACAACTGTACAGACACCATAACCAGCTTCTACTGTTCCTGTCTCCCTGGGTACAAGCTCATGTCTGACAAACGCACTTGCGTGGATATTGATGAATGCAAGGAGTCACCCCAACTCTGTAGCCAGAAGTGTGAGAATGTAGTAGGTTCCTACATTTGTAAGTGCGCCCCTGGCTACATCCGTGAGCCAGATGGGAAGACCTGTCGGCAGAATAGTAACATCGAGCCCTATCTCATCTTTAGCAACCGTTACTATCTGAGAAACTTAACTACAGATGGTGTACTTTACTCCCTGATTTTGCAAGGACTGGGCAATGCTGTGGCTCTGGACTTTGATAGAGTAGAAAAGAGGCTGTACTGGATTGACACCGATAAGAAAATCATTGAGCGCATGTTTTTGAATAAGACAAACCGGGAGACGATCATAAGCCACAGATTACTGCGTGCTGAAAGTCTGGCTGTAGACTGGGTCAGCAGGTAAGAAAAGAACCTCTAGAATGAGTTCCTGCCTTCCACGTTGTTCACCACTGTATGTGCCAGGCTGGCTGTGTATGTAGAGACACAGGGATTGGAGAAGTGTACTGCTGTGTCTTTGCTGAGGATTCAGGTCCTACTTATCCAAAGAGACATCCCTCCAACCATGCAATGTTGCTGGTTTCTTTTCCCTCCAGGTCCCACAGCCGCTACAGCCCCAAATAAACACACTGATGCTATATTAATTATAAAACTGTTGGCCGGTGGCTAGGGCTTCTTATTGGCTTGCTCTCTCTTAATTATTAACCCATGTCTACTAATCTATGTATTTTTAATGGTCTTGGCTTACCAGAGAATGCCTGGATCTGTTACTCCCTTGTGCTATCTACATGGTGACTGTTTTTTGGTGGGCTCTGTATGCCTACCTTTCTCAGAATTCTCATCTCCTAGCCTAGCCAAAAAGTGTTTTATTCATCAACCAATAAGAGAAGAAGAACATCCCCCATCAATGCAATTTGTAAAAACATTAAAAGTTCTAATTGTTTTCAGGTCACTGGGGAATTGGTCCTTTCACCGGGGGTACATAGAAACATTTAATAGCCTTTTCCCTGTGCCATCTTTTGTTTGGGAAAAGTGCCTTGAAACAGCTGTATGTGTGACTCTCAGAGAGCTCAGATAGGGAACTGGGCTGTATGTGTATGTAATGGTATGCCCTATCTTTTCATTGCAGAAAACTCTATTGGTTGGATGCCACCCTGGATTGCCTGTTTGTCTCTGACCTTGAAGGTCGAAACCGCAAAATGCTAGCCCAGCACTGTGTGGATGCTAACAATACCTTCTGCTTTAGAAATCCCAGGGGAATTGTCCTTCATCCTAAAAATGGGTATTGCCCCTTTGTCACCTTGAACCCCTTTCTTATGTATCTAGTCACCTGTTCATGTAGCTGCTTATGGGCTGGGATCTGTCTTCTGTTTCTGCTGCTTGGTGAATGGGTTAGTGTGGCTCATTTAAATGATACCCATCAGCTGGACACTTGTTTTTGCAACGATGTAACTTTTTATATTTTGAGTTGCATGCATGGAAAAATTTCAGTAGCATAAAAAATTTCAGTGGCATAAAAGTCACTGAAATCCACTATTGTCCATTTTGAGGATCACCTGTTCACCATCATTGCTGTTGTGGATACTTTTTGCCAGCTCTTTTTCCTTTCTGAGAGACAGGGGAACTTCATTTCTGTGGATGGAGAACAGCTGTCTCTTTTGGCTTCAGGGCCTGAGCCCTCTGTGTTTGCTCCCACAGGCATGTCTACTGGGCAGACTGGGGTTCTCGAGCATTCATTGCAAGAACTGGCATGGATGGAACCAATATGTCTGTGATTATCTCTACCAAGATAACATGGCCCAATGCCATCACCATTGATTACACCAACGATCTCTTGTACTGGGCAGATGCTCACCTGGGTTACATTGAGTATGTATCTTGAGAAAACAATCAAGCTGACTGAGTAAATAATTACAAAATAGCAAGGCTGTGCTTTCAGGGGATTCATCTCATCAACTATATTTGCCCTCTGAGTCACTCTGAGCTCTCTCCTTTTTTGGAAGACATGATCTCATGTATACCTGATAGGTCCCAGGCTTTCGATGCAGCTAGGGATGACTTTGAATTTCTACTAATTGAGCTGTATTCTGAGTCTGAGAATGAGTGTATGGCTATTGCCTGCCTACAAAGTGAGGATAGAATGACAAGAGGCTAGTGAGTTGACTTAGCAATTCAGAATAGGGCACTGGGTTCATTTCTTCCTAGTACCCATGCATGATGGCTCACAATCAATTCCCTGTAACTCTATTTCCAGGGAATCTGATTGATGCCTCTGACCTCTACATATACCCAAGGCATCTACATATACCCAAACTTACACACACACACACACACACACACACACACACACACACACACGAACTGATGCACACACACTCATGCACACCCATTCATGCACACACACACCCATACAATTCTCTCTCTCTCTCTCTCTCTCTCTCTCTCTCTCTCACACACACACACACACACACACACACACACAATGATCTAGGTAACAAGAATAGAATGATGGCCATCTTAGGAAATCAGGTAGAATCAGCATAAAAGATTATTAACCCATAATACCCACATCACAACTAGGAACTGGTGATTTTGTCAATATCTGTGGCTATTCCAATTTTTGAGTGTTTCAGTGTTTATGTCATTTGCCATTAAAGTTTAGTTGTTGTTTTCCTTAGAGATTCAGAGGGGTAAAATTTTCTTAATTGATGGGTTCACTCACTGATGCTGGATGACATTTAGACAAGAGGGGTTACCCTGTTCTTGCCACCAGGTTCTCTGATTTGGAGGGCCACCATCGGCATACAGTGTATGATGGAACACTGCCTCACCCCTATGCTATCACCATTTTTGAAGACACCGTTTATTGGACAGATTGGAATACAAGGACGGTTGAAAAGGGCAACAAATACGATGGATCAAATAGGGTAGTGCTGGTAAACACAACGCACAGACCCTTTGACATCCACGTGTACCATCCGTACAGGCAGCCAATTGGTGAGTAGGTGATGATCAAGGTTCAGTTGCTTTATGGAACAGGATTTGCAGGGAGCTTATTGAAACACATTATGAGAGTTAAGAGGAGTTCATTATATTTTGTTTGTTGGGATAGAACCTAAGGCCTTGTTCATCCTAGATAAGGACTCTATCATTGTGCTACAGCTTAAGCTCTTAACTTTTTAGACTCAGGCTGACCCTGAGCTGAGTTCACCCGACCACGCCTCCTAAGCAAATTATAGGCATCCCACAGTTAGTATTTTGGTGGGAGGACTGTTGTATTTTAAGCTGAGTTAAATAATTAACCGAAATGAGGACATTCTGTATCTCTATCAGTATGCAATTGTAACACCTTTAACAATTATCCCTTAATATGGAAGTCAAATTTAAAAGGAAATTGTAGTCATTTTGAAATAGTTACTAAATGTCTGCATATGATAGCATGTTTTGTATCATCCAAATGTTATTATTTGCATCTTCTAAAAAAAATAATGGTGGCTGGAAGAGCACACATTTTTTTCTTTGTGGACCTTTATTCTAGTTCACTCAATTAAAATTAAGTAATGCTTTAGACATAATCCAGAAGAGATTTGCAGTGTACTTCCAGGGGACAGGTTGGCCTTTTGGGTCTGCTTTGTCTTGCCACAAACATCTGAAAAACTTAGAAGTAAGGGAAAATAATTCTATCAATGTAATGGTATTCAGTATTTCTTTCTGAATGTTAGTATTCTTGATATAGTCTTCCTGGAAGTTAAGTTAATCTTTGTTTTCAAGCAATGAGTGGAAAAATTAAGACAGTGTTCAGTTGTCCAAATCATTGGGGCGAGAGGGGAAATTGATAGTGTCTGCTGAGAAATATAACTCACATTGGAAATCTTGCACATGAATGCAACCTGTTTACTTCCCAGGACTTTGAGAAACATCAGAACCACTACCGGTCTTATTTACAAATTGGGAAAATGATAAAAATCTTATAGCTTTCTTTTAGTTAAAAAGTAATAAATTCCATGTCTAGCTCTGTGTATGTGACCTCAAAGTTTCTTGCCTTTCACAGTGAACAATCCCTGTGGTAACAACAATGGTGGCTGTTCTCATCTGTGCCTCATCAAAGCTGGAGGGAAAGGGTTCACCTGCGCATGTCCAGATGACTTCCAGACTGTTCAGCTGAGAGATAGAACACTTTGTATGCCCATGTGCTCCAGCACACAGTTCCTGTGTGGTAACAATGAAAAGTGAGGCACACCCCTCCTCCCCCCTTTCACATTGCTTGTCTCTTCTTGGGCAAACATTGACCTTTGAGGCTAAGTGAATTGGGTAGGGAATTTTCTTTTTGGATTTTTGAGATGAATTTTTGCTGTGTAACTCATATTGGCCTAGAGCTCATTATGTAGTCCAGGCTGACCTGAAACTCACAGCAATCCTCCTTTTCTGCCTTCTGAGTACTGTGGGTATAGGTTTCCATCAACTGAGATTTTGGTTAATTGGTTTGGTTCATTGGTGGTATCAAACTTTCTGTCTTCTTGAGTAAAAGAAATTTGTTACTAACAGAGATAATGCCTATAATAAATAGGCTAGTGTTTATTAAGAAGGAAATTATTTCTGATAAACTGAGGATTGGGGCTGGAGTATATTTAAATGTACACTGCTATCATTGCCAGGGGTTCCATCTGCTGTCCATTTGTGTCAGCCACTGGGGGAATTCAATCAAGAGTTAGTTGGGAAGCAGTGCAATTGCTTTTTATATCCATCTGTTTCCTACAAACTTCATTTTTTCTTTGTAGCTGAGCAAACCCTGTTGTATATGTATGTCATATTTAGTTCTTCATAACTGGTTCCATTTGTTTGGTATTGTAAATAGAGAAGTAATAAGTACATGCACAAGTATCTCTATGGCAGGGTATGAAGTTCTTTGGGTATAGGAGAACAGTGGTCTATTTCTAATTTAAGAATTTACCATCCTTGCTATACTAGATTACAGTCCCACCAGCAGTAAAGTAGGACTCTCCACTCCACAATACTTGCCAGTATTTGTTGTCTGATTTCTTGATGAGAGCCATTCTGACTGGGGTTTGGTGGTTTGTGTTTTTTCTTTAAAGATCTGTCTGTTTGATTTGTCATTTTTGGTTTTTGGGTATTGCAGTTCGTTGTAAATTCTGGGTATTTGCCCAAAATCTGAATTAGAGTAGATAAAGTCTTTTCCCTATTCTGTGGACTGTCTAAAGAGAAATTATCTCCAGTTTTTCCTAATTGTTAAAGCTTAATTTGTAGTCCACGATGTTATCAATTTTGGAGAAGCCTCCATGAGACTTTAGCATATTTCTGTAGTGACATAAGCACTCGGTAATCTTTAGAACATTCCAGCTTTCCAGAAAACACTCTGGAAAGTGAGTTTCTAAAAGCATAGGTCTAAACTCCATCCCTTTCCCTGCCCCATTACTTTGGACTCTGGGTCTGATTCCTTTCTCTATGTGGATATTGCTTATGTCAATGCCCTTGGTGAGTTTCTACAGGCTTTATACTTTCCTTACAGGTGTATCCCCATATGGTGGAAATGTGATGGACAGAAAGACTGTGCTGATGGTTCTGATGAATCAGATCTGTGCCCACACCGCTTTTGCCGTCTGGGACAGTTCCAGTGCCGGGATGGCAACTGCACAAGTCCCCAGGCCCTGTGCAATGCTCACCAGGATTGTGCTGATGGCTCTGATGAAGACCGGGTTCTCTGTGGTATGTTGGGTTCCTTTATGCCCTCTTTGCCCCTTTCTGGAGTTAATTCTGTAGAATCAATCCAAAATCATGGTCAAAAAACTTGGAGAAAAGTTAGGGCCTGTCCTGTATCTATTGTGATAGAGGTTTTGATTGTAATTTCTAGGGTCAATTGTAGGCTGCCTGTATGGGTGGTTTCCACTATGTGCTAGGATAGAATCCTCCTTGAGCTGACATTGAGAAAGATAAAATAAAACAAAGACTTCATTTTATTTATTTTTTATTAAAAGGGTTACCTCAATACATCAGGAGTAGTCATATGCCAGGTGGTAGTGGTGCATACTCTTTAATCCTAACACTTGAGAGGCAGAGGCTGGAGGATCTCTGTGAGTCTGACGTCTGCAGAATGAGTTCCAGGTCAGCCAGGGCTACACAGAGAAACCCTGTCTCAAAACAACAACAACAAATAATAATAAGAGACTGTTAGTTATTCTAATGAGAAGATCTGTCCATATATTGGTCCTTGGCAACAATTAATACATTAGAATGTAGACCCGGTGAAAGGAAGTTAAGATAGAATTCTCCAGATTGTACTAGTGTGAACTGGGTGCTCCCATTCTTGACTAAATGCCTTGTTTGCAGAGCATCACCGGTGTGAATCCAATGAATGGCAGTGTGCCAACAAGCGTTGCATCCCAGAGGCCTGGCAGTGTGACTCGGTGAATGATTGCCAGGATAACTCTGATGAAGACAGCTCACACTGTGCCAGCAGGACCTGCAAGCCTGGCCAGTTCAGGTGTAACAATGGCCGCTGTATCCCTCAGAGCTGGAAGTGTGATGTAGACAATGATTGTGGAGACTATTCAGATGAGCCTGTCCAAGAATGCAGTGAGTTCCCTGGGGCAGGGCCATGGAAAACCAGAGCAGGGAGGCAAGCAGGTGGGGACACACCCCTCCACCTCAGTCCAAGGGAAAGGGATACCCTTTCTTGTCTTTCCCTGCAAACTCCATCACTGCCAGATAAAGCATACTGGGGTAGCTTTTATTTGTTTATATGAACCCTGGCCATACCTCCCAAGCATGGCACTAAGTGTCATGCAGAACATGATAATAACAAGGTATATGGAGCACCTTTCATTTGAGAAACACTGTGCTCAGGAACCTGAGGTTTAACCATTTTATATGTGAATAAAGTGAGGCTCTCGATAAGTGAATGGTCATATTGCCACACACAGAAGCATCATCTCAGTTCAGGGGTTTTACCCAAATTAGGTACAGGTCCTGTCTTAGTTACAGCTTTATTGCTGTGATCACACCAATTCTTATAAAGGAAAGCATTTAATGGGGACTGGCTTATAGTTCAGAGGTTTAGTTCATTATCATTGTGGAGGAAAGCATGGCAGCACACAGGCAGAAATGGTGCTGGCAAAGTAGCCTAGAGTTCTATATCTGGATCTTCCAGGCAGCAAAAAGAGAGATTGATACTGGGCCTGCCTTGACTTCTGAAACCTCAAAGCCCACTCCCATGACATACTTCTTCTAACAAGACCACACCTACTTCAACCAGGTCAAATCTCCCAAATTGTGCCCCTCTTTATGGACCTATGGATGCCATTTTCATTCAAACCACCACAGGCCCCTTCCATTTGAAACTCCACCACAACACTAATGAATGGTACAGAGACAGCCAGAAAAGTTAGGGCTCTGTTGTACTGGTAATTGTTGACTGCTGGTACCATGTCCTCTGTATAACCACAGTGAGGAGCCTTTTGGTGCTGTTTCCTACAGGACTGGCACTCCGGTTCTCATTTCTTGCTTTCTTGCTTTTCAGTGACTGCTGCTTATAACTGTGACAACCACACCGAATTCAGCTGCAAAACTAACTACCGCTGCATCCCAAAGTGGGAAGTGTGCAATGGTGTTGATGACTGCAGGGACAACAGTGATGAGCAAGGCTGTGGTAGGAAGGGTTCCAGGGTCTGGGGAGGAGAATGTCAGTGTCAAGTGCTGCTCTCATCAGGATAGATTTCCTATGTAGGCTGCTGAAAAGAATTTATTGGAGGAAACTTAATTCATGTCATCTGAAATGACATCTGGTCCCAAAGCATGCAATAAGTTAAAGAACATGTTTAATTTCTCCCAGATGTAGAATCCTTACTCATACATGACAGGTCTAAATAGCTTGTCTGATCTCACAGATGGTAGAAGGTGCAACATGCCTCAGAGGAGGTATTCCCAAATCTAGATGTATTATTTCATGACTGGTATATTTTAAGTGTCTTTGTGATTTTTTTTAATAACCATCTATTGGGCAGCTGTAGTCACTCTGGCAACATGGAAAGAACTTATGGACAAAAGACCAAACAAATTAATGGAAGTTGTCAAAATTAAGTATGTACGGTCTCTTGAAACCAAAGTGTCTGAGTCTGTATTGTTTAGAAGAGAAAAAAAAAAGATAATGGGTTACTTTAATAACACTGGCTCTAAACCTACTAGAGGCAATGAAATGCAATGTTCCTTTGACTCCATTTTAAGCCTCTTGCCAATTTTAAACCTGATAGCCTCAGGGTCAGTCACAGTGGCACATGCCTTTTTTTTTAATCTTTGAGGCAGAGGTAGGTAAGACAGCAAAGGCTACATAGTGATACCCTGTCTCAACCTCCCCTACCCCTCACCAAAAGTAAAGATAGGGCCATCCATATGCCTGCAAACATAGTTCTCAGACTGTGTCATAAGGGAGCTGGGAACTCGGCTTATGAATTCTTGAAAATGCTTGCTCTCTGCAGAGTCGGTGCCATGCAATCCCGGGGATTTCCGATGTAGAAATCACCGTTGCATCCCTCTCCGCTGGAAGTGCGATGCCTATGACGACTGTGGAGATAGCTCAGATGAGGAGAACTGTGGTGAGTGCTCCGGACCCTATGAGCCACCAGGGCTGGGATGTCTGTTTATAATTCAACTAATTCCATTCATCCTCAGAGGGTGGGGTGTTAGTTCTTTGGGCTATGAAAGTATATATTTTTCTTCTGAAATGTTAATAAGTTAAGCTTTGGGAGAAGGTATTTGTGAAGAGGTTATCTGATCAAGTCTATTTTTTTTTTTAGTCTGTTGCATTTATTTTCTTAACTTTTTTTTCTAAAACAAATCTGGCAAAAGATGAATAAAATAAGATGAATAAAACCAAAAGAGAAGTAGGGGAAGGTGCTGGCTCTAAGGACCTTTTCCCAATGTGGTCCTAATATCAGGGGAAGAATTATTTCTTCTCTTTGCATGGTTATCATTCCTGCAGTAGCTAACTCTCTTAGAATGTTTAATGAGAACTAGGGATGGGACATGAGCCAGGGGAAGGAAGTCATAGGTCACACTACACTCAGTATTCAGTTTTGAATGATAAAGTGTGTTTGGAAAATAAGTCCCAGCTGAGCAGTTATCACTGGCTCAAGATAGATTTTTCAATTTCAGGTTTCTTTTTCATTATATACTTTAGCTACCTTCTATAAGAAGTGTTCAGCTTGACCAGAGGCAATTGGGAGAATTAGGGTATTGATTACACCTGAAAGTATCAACCAGCTTATACTTGTTAATACAAAGTGGGTAGTCCGGGTAGTACTTCCCAGTCTGTAGGAAGAAGGTCACATGCACACTGTGTGAGTTCAAGGCCAGCCTAGGAAACTTAGTGAGACCCTATAGGTTTATATAAAAAAAATTATGGGCATGAGTTAGAGAATTTAGTTTAGTCCTTCATGGATGATGCACCAGGTTTAATCTCCACTACTATTACATGAACAAAAAAGAAAATAAAGTTCATTTTGAATATTGTAATAGGTCAGCTAGAGTTTTGCAATTAAAGCACATTTAGATGACAGTTAGGCTGTTGTTTTTTGACTTGGATTTGAGGCAGAGGATTGTTTCTTATTTAAAGACAGGGTCTCACGATGTAGCTCTGGCTGGCTTGGAACTCAGTATGTAGCCTCTGCCTCCTAAGTGCTGCTACTAAAGGCTGTGTGCCATGCCCAGTGAGGCAGAAGATTTTGTTTTAGAATGGGACTGGATCTCAGGTCAGAATTGGGTACAGCTCCCAAGGCCTGTCTCCTCAACGGGGTTCCCAGTGCACACTGATGGCCATGGGGCTTTCCTTTTCAGTTCCTCGGGAGTGCTCAGAGAGTGAGTTCCGGTGTGCTAATCAGCAATGCATCCCCTCTCGATGGGTCTGTGACCAAGAAAATGACTGTGGCGATAACTCAGATGAAAGGGACTGTGGTAAGTATGAGGGGCTTACATTCTGCAGTGTTGGGACTTCAAACTCTAGTGTTGATGCGGTTCTTTAGTGTGCAATGACACATGTAAGTTATGCAGTATTGAAGTTCCCTCTCACACAGTGTCTGCTGCACTTTCTGTACTCTCTGTTTAACTTCTGATCATAATGCTAGACAAAATAAGAAGGGATTTCTCTGTGTAGACCCGGCCTTCCTGGAACTCATTCTGTAGACCAGACTGGTCTCAGACTCACAGAGATCTTCCTGCCTCCCACATGCTGGCATTAAAGGCATGCACCACCATCATCTCCGGGCAAGAAAGGGTATCTGTAAATCTCATTTTAATTTAGATACAAGCTAGAAGCAGACCTTCATTCCCATGTGCTTCCAAATAAACACATTAGTTTTCCACCAAAGATCACCGTGCTGTAGAGGACAGAGCATTGAGATAGAAAATCTAAATACTGGCTTTGGGGGAATTATTATTTGAGGAAAAATTTAAGAGGTGAGATTAGCTAATAGGGCAGTAGGATTGCTTATCTCCATTTACTGAATGGAGAGCTGAATTTTGAGTTTTTCTGTTTTTACTGTGAATGAGCTGTGGGTCAGCCACAGGGTGTGGGTGGGAGTTGTTGATGGTCTCTCCATGCATCTAATACCATGAGATCTTCTGGGAATAATGATCTTTTCAGAGATGAAGACCTGCCATCCTGAACATTTTCAGTGTACGAGTGGACATTGTGTGCCAAATTCATTGACATGTGACGGGAGAGCAGATTGTTTGGATGCTTCTGATGAATCCAGTTGTCGTAAGTGCCTACTTAACTTGAGGTTCTGTGTGCATGGGAATGGTAATTTGGACACAATCCACTTCTTAGTTTTAAAAGTATAAGTGTGTTCTATTCAGCCTTCTGACTATTTTCAGTTTGCCTGAGTCATTTCCCAATGGTCTTAGGATCTCCAGTTGTTTGCAGTGGCCACACAAAGGAAAAATGAAAATTAGGAATATTTTAAATAGAGTACCAACTATGAATTATTAGCTATTATACAAATCACTAATTGGACAAAAACATTTCAGGTGAAGAAAGCTCTGTCTGTGAATGAACACATACAGAACTTGGGTTGAAAGTCTACAGCATTAAAGTGTTCTGATGTATGCATGATGTACAGAATCCCTCAGTTCCGATATAGGTGGCAAGTGCCTATGGAATGATTTGTGTCACTGAAAACTGGGCTCAGAGAAATGTCCTTAAGAAAACCCCTTTTCTCTGTGTAGCTGTCCTGGAACTCCTTGTAGACCGGATTGGCCTTGAACGCAAAGAGATTCACCCACCTCTGCCTCTTGAGTGCAGGTATTAAAGGCATGTACTACCATGCTCAGCCAAGACACATCCCTTTTTAATCTCAAAGCACAGCAACAGGGTAATGAATAATAAGGAGCCACAATAGCAAAAGTTGAGGGAGCCCTAATTGGTAGGGTATGTTAATCTCATTTATATATTGTGTGTGTCCCTTCCTTACCTACAGCTACTCGCTTTCCAAATGGTACCTACTGCCCAGCTGCCATGTTCGAGTGTAAAAACCATGTGTGCATCCAGTCATTTTGGATATGCGATGGAGATAACGACTGTGTCGATGGTTCTGATGAGGAGCTTCACCTGTGCTGTAAGAGGGAGAGGGATGGGTTGAATGGATATTGTCTTGACTGGCAATATCTCAGTGTTCCCTAAATGCAGTGTGTGAACTTGGAGGGCAGTTGTAGCATTTTGATGCCAGATGGATACACATCAATCCTGTTCATTTCACTTAAGTCTTCTTGCTTCAGCTCTCCATCTGAAGCTTCTGGAAGTCAGGTGAACATCCAAGATTTTAGGCATTAAGGCTGAGCACATATATAGGGGCAGGCCTGTTGAGGTTGGAGTCTGAGGAGGAGTAGGGGTAAATTGTAAACTGCTCTGTTTCTGATGTACTCTCCCCCTGTCCTCCGGGGCATCGTCCTCTGAAGACCCGATCTTCTATTTACATAATAATTCAAGGCCATCTTATATGTATGTATTTATTTGGTTTTTAATGAGTGGACTCTTCTGGCTTCATTTTACCAAGGTAGAATTTTGTAAGAATGGGGCCTTTTTTCAAATTAAAAACAAATATGTGCATGGGTATTTTGTGTACATGTATGTCTGTGAGACACATTGAACAGTGTTACCTGAGGCCAGAAGAGGGCATCAGAGTCCCTGGAACTGGAGTTACAGATGGCTGTAAGCTTGCATGTGGTTGCTGGGAATGGAACCTTAGTGCTCTGGAGGAGCTGACAGTGTTCTTATGTGCCATCTCTCCAGCTCCAGGGCTTTTTGGATTGGTCCACTGGTTGAGAACTACTGACTTTAATAAAGTGAGTGAAGTTGCTGTCATTTGGAGTCACTTGTGAAAAGCTAGTGTGATAGTTCCCAGGCTGGGAATGGTGGTATTTGTCAGGAAAATACGAGAAATACAAATTCATGGGCTTGGCTAGGTTCATGTGGCCCAGCAATCTAGTTAGGAAGTGATTCACAGGCGAGTTGAAGTTTCATAAGGGACCCGAGAGTCATATCTGCCTGACCTCTTCTGATGGCTTGTGTGAAGTAGCTATGAGAATTTGCTTCATGTCACCTTTCACTCTCTTTCCTGGGAGTGATGGTAGAATATTTTTTTCCTTCACGGAGAACTTCAATGACAGTTGTATTTTCACAGTGGCCTTCTAGCACTGCCTGATATTGTCCTAGGTGTTCGTAATTAGCTCTGCTTCTTATTTTGTTTGTTTTTCAAGACATGGTTCCTCTGTATAACAGGCCTGGCTGTTCTCGGACTCACTGAGTGCTGGGATTAAAGGCATGAGCCACCACTGCCTGGCCTTATTATTATTTTTTTTCTAACTTCATGACTTGACATTTCAGAGAAACCCTTAGGAAGATATTTCTCTTTGTAAAGCAAAATATCTACAGCTAAGTTGGGGGAAGTAAGGATACAAGGATGTGCTTGTGTGCGGCGTGTGTACACACACACACACACACACACACACACACACACACACACACAGACACGTTAACACTCTTTTCTAATGTTGCACCAGACATTCACAGCAAATAATTCAAGTAGTCATTTTACCAGCAGTTTCCAGCTCCATGACCCACACATGTTCTCCTTATACTGTGCCCTGACCATAGAGATCAAGCCTACCATGCTCAAGCCTACCATGTTCTTTCCTTATTCATCTCTTTCCCTTGTGGGTTCTTTTCTGACCCACATCCCTGTGTTGTATTTCATATATATTCCCTAGGAGGGGGCTCCCTGTGTAATTGATTCATCTGTGTGTAATGTCTCTTCCTGCTAGAATGAAGTTCCATGAGAATAAAGACTGGGTCTTTCTTGCTCCTCTTTATAGCTAGGGTATATCTAGCACCTGTGGCAGTGTTGTATGTATACCTGAGACTCAAGACGTGTTTGTTGAGTAATCAAATAAGCAAGTGGATTAGTGAATGAATAAATGATGAATGAAGTGGTCCTGGTACTGGGATAGCCTGGAGTATGGTAGATTGTCACTTCTACTTCTAGTTTTGTTTTTCATTTTTTTTCAGTCAATGTTCCATGTGAACCACCACATCGTTTCCGGTGTGACAACAGTCGTTGTATTTATGGCCACCAGCTGTGCAATGGTGTGGATGACTGTGGAGACGGAACCGATGAGAGAGAAGAACACTGTAAGCAAAATGGGGAAAGGAGAAGGCAGAAACCAGGGTCCTGATCTCTTTTAAGATGTTCCTCTGGGGTTTCTGTTTGTCCTGCTGAGGAGGCTTGCTTTGCATCTGTGGTAGTATATCATAGACAGTACAATACATACATGGCTCAGACAGGACATACATGGCTCAGACACCAACTTGCCACCTCCTTCCTATCTCATTGGAGTGAGATGTTGCCATGCCCCTTAAATGCCAGTCTGTGTTTAAGCATTTAATAAGTTGCTTTCATATGTCTATAAGAAAATGAGAGGAAAGACTAAATACTGGTTGAGTTACCCTCCAAGTTAATGGATTATTTGTTGTCAAAGATGAGGCTTGGCCACTCCACAGCCGGTAGTTGCTAATTGCTAATCTGGTATGTGAATGTGGGTTTCTTCTCATGCTCAGCCGAAAAGATCATAGTAAGTAAGGCACCCCTGGTGTTAACACAGCTAACCTAGTATCCTTCCTGAATATGTAAATCCATTTCCCAGACAAGACAGAAAGTATATATTTTACTGTTTTATGTCTTTGGGTGTTTTGCCTACATGCATGTCTGCACCTTAGGCATGCCTGGTACCCAGGAAGGTCAGAAGAGGGTGTCAGATTGCCTAGAACTGAAGTTATAGATAGTTGTGAGCTGCATTATGGGGGCTGAGAACTGAATCCAGGTCCTCAAGGAGAGCAACCAGTGCTCTTAACCACTGAGACATCTTCAACTCCAGTAGATTAGAAACTGGATTGTACTTTTGTATAAAAATCTGTCTATTGAGAGTTTTCTGGAAATTAGTTTGTTTAGAAAGAAGCCATTGAGAAGAACGTTGAAAACAGATACAAGTAGCTAGTTTTATGTTTCCTGTCCCCAATAAAAGCATGATAGCAATAAACATATTTCATTCTATTTGGAATGAAAGAATTAGACTCTTTGCCATCGCCAGTAGCAGTTCTGAAAGACAACTGGGCTAGGGTGACACCTGTTGACATAGACAACTCTGGCTTTTGCTTGAATCAATACTTAACAACACCTTGCACACTCTCTAATGCATGGAGATACCAGGCAGTAAATAGAATGTTCAGTCCATGCAGATGCTGTGAAGGGACCTCTCTGAGAGGAACATCTATGCCTGTTGTGCTTCCTAGTTAGTCTCTGGTTCTCCTCTTGGGCAGTATTTCCTTGTTTGTTTTCCTCTTCATATGAAGGTGCTATGTAGACTGTGCCTCTCTAGGGGATGTACAACTATCTAATGTCACTGCCTTGTAGTAGGTTGGAACCCAAGACTTTTTTCAGGAAAGAAAAGATTTTTCATTAATGATGTATAGGAAGACACAGTGTACTTCATCTTAATTGAGACAAGCTATAAATGCATCTAGATTGTCATTTTTTAAAAAGAATTTATATAACTAATCCAGTTTTTGAGTATTGTACTTACCATGGATTTAGGGAATTCTGTAGGTACAATACAGGAAACAGCACATGGTTTTGGGAAAAACTTTTATAATTCTAGCCATACATTGATGATCCAATGAATATATCTTCTATTTGAAGCATTATAAATTAACTTCTTTCATTCACCAATCTGGCTTCTAAAATGCCAATTCTAGAATTCTTCTTTGGCCTATTTGATGGCATTGCTCTGGATCCATTCTTCTCACTGTAAAAATGTTGCCCATAGACAATCATACATAGGTTATAATCCTCCTGACTATATTTCATTTCATTATTTCATATTTCAATTCATTTTTAAAATTCATGGTGAAGGCAGTTAGCACATTTTGGCTTATTCAGCTATATATCTCTCTCAGGAGCATGGTGGGCATTCACCCTGTTTCTTCCACTCAGTTCTAAAGTTAATAATCTCATTAAATGTTCCCTTTGAGAGAGCTCTTTTATCTTGTTCTTTTACCACTCTTGTAGAAGCTCACTGCCACTTATACCTTTAGAAAAGGAGAAGGACATTTTGTCCAACTATGATCTCACTTAGAGCCTTTTAACTTACATATTCTTCCTCCTTGGGACTTATATGCAGTCAGCTTGTCTCATACTGTGGAGGGTTTTTTTTTGTTTTTTTGTTTTTTTGCCTTTATTTTCTGGCATTTCTGTCTATACAACCAACCAGGTCTTCACTGACCTTCTCTCTTTGTTAAAAACCTTTACCAAGCAAGGACAGGCTGGACATATTGCTAACACACACTTTCCATAAGCATATGATCTGCCTCCCTCTTCACTAACTGCTTTGCTATTGTATACATATAACCTGGATCTCCAAATGTTTTCAGTTTTTGATTTGGAAAGATTCTGCTTCTCTCATCACTCTGAATTACTCAGAGTAATTGATGTTGCTGCAACCAACAAATCTCTGAGTCTTAACACAATAAAGATTTCTTTCTCATTCGTATAAAGGACAGCAGGGCTTGTGCAGCATCCTCCAGCTTGGAGCTAGCCACCTGACATACCTGACTGCCAAGGGTACAGCTTATGAGACACTGTGAAGGCTCATGGGCTTTTTAACTGCTTTAGTCCAAGGGTGATGTATGTCACTAGTAATTCACAGGCCATTGGCTAGAACTAGTCATTTGGTCCCAATCTAGCTTCAAGGGAGCCTGGGAAAAGTAGGGAAACATGCATTTATTTGTGAATGGAGGAAGTGAAGCATTTTGTTTCAATGAAGACAAAGTTTGACTTTAACTTGTTTTTAAATTGCAGGCAGAAAACCAACCCACAAACCTTGTACACAAACTGAATATAAGTGTGGCAATGGAAACTGCATTTCTCAGCACTATGTGTGTGACAATGTCGATGACTGTGGTGACCTTTCTGATGAAAGTGGTTGCAGTAAGTAAACATTTAGCTTCATATTCATTATGGTAAAATAACCAGATATGCTCTCAAATAGATCAGATGGGCCTCAAACATACCATGTAGTCAAGTATTACCTATACAACTCCAGATTCTCCTGCCTCTGCCTCCAAGTGCTGGGATTATAGTGTGGGCTGGAAGAGATTGTAACACAATCAAGGGATGGATTTGGTTCGTTTGGAACTGTTGAGGACGTATTAGCAGTCCACATTTTTGATGTCCCTTCATAGCTCAAATATATATTGTCTAATTGTTACTGCCCCATTGAACAGCTGCTATTTATTGTCTACCTCCATACTGATGTTCGAAAAGTTTAAGTTATTTGCTGGAGAGCAAAAAAGGGTAAAGAAGAAATTAAGAATCTATGGAACTCTTGGCAAGAAGAGTGGCCTCTGGTTCCTTCTGGCATCAACTGTGCTGCTTTGGCACAGTCAGACCTCTTTAATCCTTAATTAATCAATCAATTAATTAGCTATTGTGTGTATGTGTACCCATGCATGCCATAGTCTCTCTCTACCTACCCCTCTGTGTGTGTGTGTGTGTGTGTATGTAGAGGTCTGAGTTCAATTTTGTAGGGTTAGGTTCTCTCCTTTCATCTTTCCATAGGTTTCAGGGATGGAATTCAGGCACCAGACTTGTGCCATCCCAGTCTCTGAAGGAGCTCTCTAAATGCTGAGAGTCTGAGATTGGCCATGTTAGTTAGCTCCATGTGTTTTTAGCACCACCCTGAGGCATGCAGGGGACTTGTTGATAGTTATATACCATACCACACTGAGTTGGTTTGCCACATATCTCACATAGTGCTTGACAAAATGAAATGAGTTGATTAAACTGTTGATAGAATTTGAGAAGCTGGGTGCCAGATTTGGCTTTTGACATGAAGACACTGATGTGTAAATAGCTTCAGGAAGCCGGCAAATTTCTGAGTTTGACTTGAGCTAAGTGTGGCTTTCTCTTGTTGCCTGTGCCTGTGCCTGTGTTTAGGACAATACTTTCTATTCAAGTGGAATTTCATTGGCAGTAGGTTTATTTAGAGGATAGCAGTATGGTATTAACTTCTTTTCAGATAATGAGTGGATTTGATACAGAAGTCAGTTATGTACTATTTGACATAGGTGTAAAGTTCTTTTTTCTTTTTTTCTTCTCTTCTTCTTCTTCTTCCTCCTCCTCTTCCTCCTCCTCCTCCTCCTCCTCCTCCTCCTCCTCCTCCTATTTCAAGCCAGGGTCTCACTATGTAGCCCTGGCTGTCCTGGAGCACACTATGTAGACCAGGCTGGTTCCACCTGCCTCTGCCTCCTCAGTACTGAGATTAAAGGTGTGTGCCACTGTGCCACTGTGCCCCTTTTGTCTTCTTTTCTATTGTCCCTCCAAACCTCCCCATCTCTTCCCTCTTTTACATTCTATAGAATTATTGAAATATTCGGCTTTTAAGTATTTAAGATATGCATTATGATATTTTAAAATACCAGAGTGAAATCATAGCTTAACACATGTGTGTGTGTGTGCTTGGAGCACCCAAAACCTACTTAGTCACACATTTATAGGCATGGAAAGACACGAACATTTTCCTAGCACCAATCAATTATAAAGGAAATAAGCTGATGTCAGGTCACAAATATAATTTCTGTGATCATAAAGGAAGAGCAATTTAATATTTTTGTGAAGTTTCATTCCTTTTTCATAAACTGGAAACTAGAGAGAGTGGCTGTGTTGTAAGCATCCATAAGCTTCTGTTCATAGAGGCTGGTTGCTAGGCAACTGCTGGCACTGAGCTGCATGCCCAGCCCTAATGCCACTGTTCCATGGATTAAGGTGTTAGCTAGATGTTCCTTTTGATGTTTCTGTTCTTCAAATGAAAGGCATTGTATGAAAATCTTCCATTTCAAATGCTTACTTTATTAAGGGTGCTTACTTTGGAAGAAAATGATTCAGTCGGGGGAGAGCTTTCTGCATTTTGAACCTCTTAATTACAGATGGACCCTAGAGCTGAGAGAGGACCACAAAGTTCAGTGACAGAGTTGTGAGAATAGTAGAGAGACTATGGCATTGGAAAGATGAGAGAATTGCTATGATCTTGCCCATGAATGCCAAGTAGACAATTCACAGACACATCCAAGACACTGAAACTACTAAGAAAAACTAGAAAACCTGGGGAGGTTTATTTATTTAGGAATATGTAGTTATTGGTAACTCATACTTAGTATGCATGCAAAGGGCAATGTTCTATTGGGTGGCATTTTTCTACTCTTGAAACTTGATGTCTATTTTCACCTGAACCAGGAGATCCCACAGTTTCTTCAGCTGAAACACATGAGGTTTGACTCCTCACGGAGATGAACACTGCTCACCACTCCTTTATCTTGCCTCAGCTTCTTCATCTTCTCTGCGAGACTTAAGTGTGGGAGTAGGTGGAGACTGAGGCAACCTGATGAGAATGACAAGACTGAAGCCAGATGACTGAATGACAATGACTTGCAGGGATTGACCTGGACAAAGATCAGCAGGCAAAGATGAGCCAAGAAGTATTTGGACAGAATCCAAGATGTGAGGCCTAGAGAATCAAGACCCCAGAAGATTGGGGATAAAAATAGCCATTTAGCAGAACCCCAGCACAAACTATTGGTCATCTTTTGCTTTATTGCAGAAGCTATAGAATCTAGGGATATTAATAATAATAATCATAAGTAGAGAGGCTCAGGTAGAGTTGCATGCATATTTAGCATGAACAAGGAATCAAGGTTTGAGGTTCCAGCTTCAATCCTCAGCACCAGAAGCAAAGAAATGATCTGAACCTCATAACCAAGAAAGGTTTGCTCTTTTTTATACATTAATTTTTGTACATTAATCCAGTTATTTTTAGATATTCCCCATGGCACAGTATCATTTGAAGCCTTGAATCTTTTTTTTTTTGTAGATTTTTTTTATTTGAATTAGAAACAAGATTGTTTTACATGACAATCCCAATTCCCTCTCCCTCCCCTCCTCCCCATACCACCCCCCACAACTAAAACCCTACCTATCACATATCCTTTCTGCTTCCCCTGGAGGGTGAGGCCTTCCATAGGGTGTCATCAGAGTCTATCGTATCCATTGAGATAGGGCCTAGGCCCACCTCTGTGTGTCTTGGCTCAGGGAGTATTCCTCTATGTGGAATGGGCTCCCAAAGTCTACACCTATGCTAGGGATAAGTACTGAACTACTACAGGAGGTCCCATAGATTTCTGAGGTCTCCTCACTGAAACCCACATTCCTGGGGTCTGGATCAGTCCCATGCTGGTATTCCAGCTATCAGTCTGGGGAGCAAGAGTTCCCGATGTTCAGGTCAGCTGTTTCTGTGGGTTTCACCAGCCTGGTCTGGACCCCTGTGCTCTTCACTCTTCCTTCTCTGCATCTGGATTCCAGTTCAGTTCAGTGATTAGTTGTGGGTGTCTGCTTCTACTTCCACCAGCTGCTGGATGACGGCTATTGGGTGGCATATAAGTCAGTCATCAATCTCATTATCAGGGGAGGGCATTTAAGGTAGCCTCTCCTCTGTTGCTTAGATTGTTAGCTGGTGTCATCTTTGTAGATCTCCAGACATTTCCCTAGTGCCCGATTTCTCTGTAAACCTAAAATGTCTCCCTCTATTATAGTACCTCCATTCTTGTTATCTTCTGTTCTTCCCCTGACTCAACCTTGCTGCTCCCTCATGTCCTCCACACCCCTCCTCTTCTCCCCTTCTCAATCTCCTAGCTCCCTCCCCCCTCTTCCAGTGCTCCCAATTTGCCCAGGAGATCTTGACCCTTTCCCCTTCTCCAGGGGACCATGTATGTCTCTTTTAGGGTCCTCCTTGTTTACTAGCTTCTCTGGCAGTGTGGCTTATAGGCTGTCTAAAATCCACTCTATGTCTAAAATCCACATATAAGTGGGTACATACCCTGTTTGTCTTTTTGTGATTGGGTTACCTCACTCAGAATAGTTTCTAGTTCCATCCATTTTCTTGCAAATTTCAAGATTCTATTTTTTTTTCCTGCGGAGTAGTACTCCATAAGCTGCTTCCAGTTTCTGGCTATTATAGATTGTGCTGCTATTTACATTGTTGAACAGATGTCTTTGTTGTATGGATGTGCTTCTTTTGGGTATATGCTTAGGAGTGGAATTGCTGGATCTTGTGGTAGACTGATTCCTATTTTCCTGAGGAACTGCCATACAGATTTCCAAAGTGACTGTACAAGTTGGCACTCCCACCAGCAGTGGAGGAGTGTTCCCCTTTTTCCACATCCTCTCCAGCATAAACTGTCATTGGTGTTTTTGATTTTAGCCATTCTGACAGGAGTAAGATGGTATCTCAGAGTTGTTTTGATTTGCATTTCCCTGATGGCTAAGGATGTTGAACACTTACTTATGTGTCTTTCAGCCATTTTAGATTCCTCTATTGAGAATTATCTATTTAGTTCTGTACCCAACTTTTTAATTGGATTGTTTGGTGTCTGGAGACTAGCTTCTTGAGTTCTTTGTATATTTTGGAGCCCTCTGTCAGATGTGGGGTTGGTGAATATCTTTTCCCTTTCTGTGGGCTGCCATTTTGTCTTGCTGTGTCCTTTGCCTTTCAGAAACTTCTCAGTTTTAGGAGGTCCCAGATCTTAGTGTCTGTGCTACTGAAGCCTTGAATCTTAATAACAACCCATCATATAAATAATCAAAACACATCATTTCTGACTTGTATGCTTCTTTTTATACTGCAAATTATTTTCCATAACGTTGATGGTGTATAAGTGGTCACTTAAGACAATACAGTATATTATATTTCTTCCTTACTGTTGAAAATATAATTATGTTCAATATTTTATATATCAGTGTTATAATCCATAAACACAAATCAATGCATGTATTTCCCCTTACTCTACTCATTAATAGAGTAACTGAGTAAAAATGTGAATATATTATTTTTATTGATTATTTTCTGTGTTGCTAGTGATGAAGCCCAGAGCCTTGTGCATGCTAGGTAAATTCTCTATCACTAAGCTACAATGGCAGCCAAGCAAGAGTATTGTTAAAATAGGATAACAGTATTGTTAAAAGGGCCATATATTATAAAATTTTTCTTACATATACTAATTTAAGGCTCTACATATGAACTAAACAAATTCTTAACACAAAGACTAAAGTGTCCTTGAAAAAGATAGAAAAGGAAACCTGAATGGACTTATTTAGAAATGTATGGCTGTTGAAAGTTTGGATTCAGTCTTTATAAGCATTTTGTGTATGGATTTGTAAGTTTTGGGTCATTTTACTACACCCTGATAAACATCCTTCCAATTAACTGTTCAATACTTGGAAAAATTAAACTTACAAAATTATACTTATAATATTATACTTATAATTTTGTTCTAGTCTGTATTTGTACATGCATGTATGTGAGTGTGTGTAATCTACCTACCATCTATATACCTACTTACACAAGATGAATGAGCTAGAGCATTTGGTGGCTGTGGAATCCCTGGAGTTGGTTGGATGCTCTGAGGTTGAGCCTGTTAGTGCTGCATATGATGGGAAATGACCTTAAGGACCATCTTCACATTTGTGGAGATCCAGACCACTTTCAGAACAAAGATCCACTCTGATTTCAGGGCCTCTGGAAAAGGGCCATCTGAAGGTGCTGTGGAGTTGGTTATATGTCTGTGCATTTGTGGCTAATCTGGCTTGTACCTTTCGCTTATAATGCTGAGATTTTGTTTTCAGATCTAGGAGAAAACAGAACATGTGCTGAAAACATATGTGAACAGAACTGTACCCAGTTAAGCAATGGAGGATTTATCTGTTCCTGTATTCCTGGGTTCAAATCTAGTACTTTGGACAAAAATTCATGCCAAGGTAGAATATTTTTCCTTCCATTGTTATTTAGAGAAATTTACACTTTTTATGTTGTCCATCTATTGCCTTGCTATTAACCACTGTATAATTTCCTTAATGAGGTTTCCTTACTCAGGTACACACAGTGTCAATTAATGAAGGTCTTGGTGAAGTAAAACCACCAGAAATCACAAAGCTTCATCATAAGTCACAACCCACATATTTATCACATACCTACTTAGGAAAGTCATAAATGAGTTATGACATAAATGAGTTATGACAAGATTATCAGTGAAGAGTATGATTTTTAGGTATCTTTCATCATGTATAAACTGTGTCTATTCACATATCATACCCAAGGACGCCATGTAAACTAGACAAGCAATCTACCACAAAGGTATAGCTTTAGCCCTTCAGAGATGATTTAAAGAATTCTTTTGGTTACTAAAGCAACTCAGCTGTTACACCAATAAGTGAGTCTTCCTGAAGCTGTTTAGTTATCAGAGGGGAAGCAATGATAATATCAACCATACAGATGTTATTAGAAAGCAAACATTTGCCTTAACACTGTATGAAGTTATACTGCTTTAGTTAAAATAACCCTCTGTCCATTGTTGACCAGCGTTAGGGTCAATGGTAGTCCTCAACATATTTGGTTTCATTGCTTGTTTTCATGTGCACTCTTCTTAGTCTTCTCTGCTTGTGAATTCCAATTCTGAATGGGCCAGAATATGTGTTGCATATTTGGTTTTTATTTTGCCTGCAGATATCAATGAGTGTGAGCAGTTTGGCATCTGCCCCCAGAGCTGTCGAAATAGCAAAGGAAGTTATGAATGTCTCTGTGCAGATGGCTTCAAGTCTATGGATAGTCATTTTGGAGAACGGTGTGCAGCTGATGGTACGATGGGTTCATGTTTGGAACAAATTACTTCCAGGGGACATAAATACCGAAGAGTATGATGTACCAGGAAATAAACTTCCCTTTTTTAAAGTTTCCATTACTTCTTTCACCTCTTCTGCTAGCTTAAAAATCTCTGTGTAACAGCTTAAAAATATAACTATGGCCCCATAAGAAATGTGTAAAATTAAAAGACATTAGTTATTATTCTGAATTTAACTTCAGGATAGAAACTCCCAAAAGGGGACAGAAACTAGTCTGTAGGAAACACAAACGACAGAAGGGTGGAGCAGGATATAACAAACTGCTGATTTGAAGCCACAAAACCCAAGGTGAGCCAAAACACATACAACTGGGCCAACTGTGCTGATGTATTTCTTTGTTATTGCTGATGAACTGCTGGTCACAGAGAGAAAGTCTGATGCATTCAGAAATCAATCATTGGTTTTACATTTTAGGTTAATGCCTATATTTAAGAACCTAGTTAAAGAAAGAACAGTATAAACACTAGATAGAACTCCCAGCACTTGGGAGGCAGAGGCAGGTGGATCTCTGTGAGTTCGAGACCAGGTTGGTCTACAAGAGGTAGTTCCAGGACAGCCTCCAAAGCCACTGAGAAACCCTGTCTCAACCCCCCCCCCAAAAAAAAAAAAAAAAGCTAAAGGGAATGCAAGTCCGGAACACCATGCTCCAAATTTCAGAGATCTGGACTAAAGCAACTTTTCCCAGTTAAGGATATATGGCCTTGTTTAGGATTTGAAATTGATACAAAAGTTTAAGAAACTTACTCAGAAAATAGTAAGTTAAAGCAGCCAAAAGCTCTATCCAATACATAGTATAAGTTGAGTGCTTAAGGTACACATTTGGCTGGTATATCTAAGAGTTTTATCCTCCTGTTTGAGAGTGAATAGAAACTAGAGTGAAGGCATTTGAACAGCTGGTCCTGCAATTAAGCAGCAAATTTAAAAGAATGTTTAAATCTTTTAACTAAGCGGGTAGCTGAAATAAATTAGAATATTCATATAAAACATAATGTCAAGTCTGAGGAAATACTTTTAAAAGTCACTAAAATCACAATTGATTGACGTTCTGCAAGCAAATTAAAATTTTAAAATTCTAGAGGAGTATTTTGGGATGAATCACCATTGAAAGAGCTACTTTAGGCTTTAGGGAAAACCCTGAAAATTCAAGAACAAGCTGGCTTGTTTCTCATTAGCTGGCAGTTAAATTGGGCTGTGGGGATGATTACCTGTTAAGACAATCACAAAACCTGTCAGTCAACAGTGAGGGTTGATAGCTCCCTGGTAAGCTCTAGGCTGTGAATACTGTATTTCTCCTGTGAGACTGGATGTCTAATGGTCCTGTCAGTGGATGAGAGAAAGACTTGTGATCTCAATCTTGTCTAAACTGCCTCTGGTGGCAGGAAGGAAGAAAGGAAGGAAGGAAGGAAGGAAGGAAGGAAGGAAGGAAGGAAGGAAGGAAGGAAAGAATGATGCTCATAGCCTATGGATATAGTCTTACAGGGTAGTATAAGCTTTGATGGTCAGATTTCTCTAAATCTAACTTCTCCCTCTGCCTCTTCTTCATCTCCCTTTCCTTCCTGCCCCCAAAGGGAAATACCTATAGTGCATTTAATACCTATTTGACTTCTTAAAAGTACCAGTGGAATCAGATAGACAAAGGAGCTCTTTGTTTACAGGAGACCCTCCTCTGTTGCTCCTGCCTGAGAATGTTCGAATCCGGAAGTACAATGTCTCATCAGAGAAATTCTCAGAGTACCTGGAAGAGGAGGAACATATCCAAACTATTGACTATGACTGGGACCCCGAGGGCATTGGCCTCGGTGAGTGTAAAACCTGCACACTGGTCATTGCATTGATTCTTCTTGGTTTTTAGATGGTGAATTTATGCCGAGTAGACTTTTGTTGCTTAGATGGAAGTGGGATCTCCTGTCCAGCACGTCCCTGGGTTTTCACTGTGGGCTTGGGTCCCTGCTGGCTTTTCCTGATTTCCCACTGAAACTTCTCTTCACATCTCCTTGTATTTTAATATCCCTGTCTTTGCTCACACAGCCACCCTTCTTTTCTACCATAGCATACTGGCAAAGTTCTGAGCACCAACGTCACCTTTGTGACACTCTGATAGAGTCCCACAAATGCCTACCCTGAGGTCATAGCATTTTATACATGCTTTTAGACACATGCTACATTGCTTTTTCCAGCTAGTTGTCTACATGATTTTCTCTTATTCTAATTGTGTGTGCCCTTTGGTGATTGATCTTAATTTGTCTCTACATTCTCAGCTCCTGACCTGATATCTACCACAGACATATATGTAGTGGGCACTAAAAGAGACTAACTGAATTTATAAAAAAGTGAATGATACCTACCCTTGAACATAATCTTCTCTGCCTATAGATTCATCTTCTGTCTTTATGCTCCATTTCCTAGATTTATAATATCAAGCAATTGTTAACAATTATTAAAATCAACTTTTAACTGTAAAGTATTGGTAGTAATCTTGTTCTTATCTACTTGAAGCTTTTTGAAGGGTAAATGAATGTTTATGATCTACTAAAGACGATTTTTTCACTGTATTTTCACATTTATGTTTATTTCAAGAATGATGCCTGTTTATGGAAGAAGCATATGCCAATATGCTCTAAAATTCAGTCTTAATCTGTGTGTCATTAGATTAACCTCAGTCCCTAGGGGTGAGGGAAGGCAAATTACAAGTTCCAATATATAGCAGGACCGTGTCTTGAAGAGAGGAAAAAAACCTACTCCTTGTGTCACTTCTTAGCCTTTTGGTTAAGACCAAGTATAAAATAACTTTTGTATACTATCATTACAGGACTTTTACCTATGTGACTTTTTTAATTGTCACAATGAGTGTGCTTTTAATTTCTCTATGTATCCTGTTTTGGAAATTAGTCCCTTAGCTAAGCTATCTAAATGAGTTATCTTCTGATAGAGATTATGAAAATATCTCTAAGTTCTAAGTTGAGCCTTTCTTGTTAGTAGTGTGGGTATGATGTGCACTGAGTTTTGGGGTAAGGGAATTAGTTGTATTATGGAAATGAGGAGGCAGAGAGCTCAGTAACTGACTCACGATCCGCTCTTATGTGCATTCCTCTCTAGGTGTTGTGTATTACACTGTGCTGGGACAGGGCTCTGAATTTGGTGCTATCAAACGTGCCTACATTCCTGACTTTGAATCTGGGAGCAATAATCCCATTCGTGAAGTTGACCTGGGCCTGAAATACATAATGCAGCCAGATGGATTAGCAGTGGACTGGGTTGGAAGGTAAATATGCCACTCATCTCTCTTGCCTGTTTCATTTTCATGGGGGAGTGCTGGTTTCAGTTCACTGTAGTTATACTTGTGAACCCAGAAACTGACATAGCTCAACTGTGCCCTAGCCTGCTCTGGTCACAGCACTTCTGCTTGCCCCTGCATGCAATACAAACATTGTTCTTTTCTGTATTCAGTGTGCCACAGAAGGGTTTAGGAAAGCACCCAGGTCAAGATTCTGTTATATGTGAGAGTTCTGTATTTAAAAAGGAACTTTGAGTATGGTAGTATTATTCATTGGGAGAATTCTCCAAGAGTATCACTTGAGATTAAACATCTCCCTCTGGTAATTATTTGGGAAAAGGAACAAGCCACAATTTTTAGTATTCAAGCTAGCTAGTACCAACTGGAGTGCTACTGAGTTTTTAGTCCCTGTTCTATTCTGTTGGACCATCTAGAACCATCTGGCTCACAGTTTGGATGATCTCTAACTCAGAAACTGAATCTTGCTCACACAGATGCCTGATACACAGCCTGGTATGGAAGTGTCACCAATAAGCCTTCCTTCTAGAGGAGACTTGCACTGGCAAGACACTCATGGGAAAATTGAGAGGTCTCAGTGGCTCCCTACCCTCCTGGAGAATGGAGAGTCATTTGAAGCACAAATTCATCTTTCCCTCTTAACAGTCTTGTCATGAGAGACTTGAGCTTCTCCAAAGAAGTCAATTGGGTCCCCAAAGTGCCTGAAGGCTAATAGGAGACTCAATCTCAGCATGATCTGTCAGGAAGCAAGACCTTAGAGAACCATTACACAAACCTGTAGATGTTAAGTCACCCCAGCAAGGAAGTGGGAGTGGCACATTTCTCTCATCTGAACTTTTGCCTCTTTCTGAGCCTCAGTGGATGAGGGAATTAAGAAGCTATGCAGCCTTAGACATGGATATACGGACAGGGTAGCTTTGCTGAGATTGTAATTTTGAAATGCTCATCTTTGGGATGGGTGCTCAATTCTCCTTGGTTACAGTTGGGCTCTTTGCTAAAGGGGAAGAGACTCACAGTCTGTAACAATTAAAAGCCACATGCCCGTGGAAACATGTGACTCCAAAAAATTCAATGCATCTGCTGTATCCACAGCAAGCACACATACAGTATCTGAGTAATTTACAGGCATCTGAGTATTTGTTGCACTGGCCAGAACTTACAAACTAAAATTTCTCAGGTTCGCATGTCTTTTCAAATGATTGGCCCAGAGTTTTCTATCGTTTAACTCTGTCCCTCCACATTCAGGCATATTTACTGGTCAGATGCCAAGAGCCAACGGATTGAGGTGGCTACACTTGATGGAAGGTACCGGAAGTGGCTGATTACCACCGACCTGGATCAGCCAGGTGCCATTGTTGTGAATCCTAAGCTGGGGTAGGTATTTGGAGGAATGCTTATGTAGTTTCTAATGGTGAAATTCCACTTTGGGATATACACAAGAATCCATCTGCTTACATGAATCCTTTCCCGCACTTTCATTTGGATGCATTAAAAAAAAAATCTTGCTAATTGAAAGAAATTCAGATGGCAATTTGGTTGTATTACATTGGCCATATAATTTTTTCCAAAGCATGAAATATGCATCAAAGACATGTTCATACATATACATTGCTTATTTATAGAAATTGGTAGTTGACCTTACCATGAGAACTAGCTTGGTCTTTCCCTCTTCATTTTTGCCATTTAAGTGGATATTTAGCCTTTGTGTAGTGACATCTGAATTCTTCCTTTTTTGAGCAGACCCAAGTAGTTTCCCTATTTGGACAGGACCAGTGTCCTGTATTTATATATGGAACATGATGAGATATTATTACTTTCATTCTTTTGTTTTCCACGTGTGAAATCATGGCTTAAAATGTGCTTCCCTGAGAAGATCTACTCAGCATCAAACTTTGCTTCTTATGTATAACATGTGTTGGAAGTAAAGAGACATCTTTGTAGAAACAGTACAGCTCACACTCAGGAAAACTCTTGGTTGCGCCAGTGCTGTGGTGTACTAGGTAAGCACCACTAGGTGAGATGCTCCAACCAGGACATTTTCTGTTACAGGCTTATGTTCTGGACTGACCAGGGAAAACAGCCTAAAATTGAGTCTGCTTGGATGAATGGGGAACATCGCAGTGTTCTGGTCTCTGAGGACCTTGGCTGGCCGAATGGCCTTTCCATAGATTATCTGAATGATGACCGGATCTATTGGAGTGACTCCAAAGAAGATGTCATTGAAACCATAAAGTATGATGGGACTGACAGGAGACTCATCTTAAATGAAGGTTAGGAATGAGTCAGGATTTATATATTAATCATTGTCTAACAGATTTTCAATGTGCCTTAGGATATGGTTTATGTAATTCCTCAGATTTGTTCCCATCAATCCCCAACTGCTATGTTAAATTCAAATGAATTCATAATTTTAAGTACCAGGATCAGATAATGAAAGGTCCCTCTGGGATTGTGTCTTCCATATGTTAAGTCGTGTGTGTCCTTATAATCTCCATCCTACTGCTTCTAGACCCATTCATTTCCCATGGGCTAGCCATGCTTGTGTTCAGCTAGAAACATGTAGAAGGAAAGGAGTATTTTGTTTTATTAGCCAAAATCAAAAAATGGGACTATAACAATGCAGTGCACAGCACGTTTCCCCTAACTGGCTACAACTGTCTCATATTCAAAGTGTGAGGAGTCATGGAGGGTCTCAGCCCATCACATTGTTTAAAAAAAAAAAATGGAATAAAATCAGCAGCTTTAAAGTCAGACCACTTACAATAACCCAGGTTCATTGATCTTGAACTCCCCATGTAGCCCTTTCAGAAAGTCTGCCCAGTGTACTTGCTGTTACTTACAGCAGTAGTGCTGGGCCTTGTTTTATTAACTCTGACTTGTTTCTCCCCTATTGGTAAGCAGCAATGAAGCCGTTCAGCCTGGACATCTTTGAAGACCAGCTCTACTGGGTAGCCAAGGAAAAGGGAGAAGTGTGGAGACAGAATAAATTCGGGAAAGGAAATAAAGAGAAAGTGCTGGTGGTGAACCCTTGGCTCACTCAAGTTCGAGTATTTCATCAGCTGAGATACAATAAGTCAGGTAATAAGACGTCTTGGGATGAGAAGATGAACCACACACCTTGTTTTGGAAGGAGACAGTCACAAAGGGGGAGTGGGTGCTTCAAACATTTGAATGCAGAAAGAGAACATTGTAGGCTAAGTAAAATGGTATAAATCATTGTTTGGCATTAGGGAGACAGACTTTTTAGATCCCCAGAATCTCGCAGACACCAGACCTGCGCTTTAAGAAATCACCATGCGGGTCTGGTCTGTCTGTGAATGTCAGAAACTGTGTCCATTCTTAAAATGGCAAAAACTAGGCACTTAGTCTTGTGAACCCCAGCTTAGAATGTTGATCCCCCTCTTATTTCTGTAACATTCAGTCCCGGTGCCAGATCATGTCTCAGCATTGTGTGGAGGAAATGAAAGGATGCTTTTGAAATGAGGAAAGAAATGAGCCTTTACCAAACTATCCAGTGCCAGGTTACTTCTTTAGATAACCTGATCTGCTACTTGTCATATATGTAATGTGATGCCTTTAAGCTTAATTCTAACCAATCCAAAGCTCAGGTTTGTTTTTGTTTGTTGTTCGTTTTTTCCTCTCATCTGGTTTGGTGGTTTGTTTATATCCTGGCTCTGGCTTGGATAAGTCATTCCCATCTAATCTGTATTTCTGTATCAAGGACAGAGTTCTCTGATTTCTGACACCACGTGTTAGCCTCAGGAAATTACAGCTCAGAGCTGGTGGCCAATGTGTGTTCTAGGACGTAGTTTCCCTGAGTGGCTTATATGCTGGGTTTTTCCCAGCTTGTCACCTGAAAACTCAATGTAATAGACTGTGTCTTCAGTGACCTGGTGATCTGGCTCAGAGAAAAACAAAGTGTGAGGACTGCTGAAACTCTGGGTCCCAGCTGGGGACATGCTGACTAGAGATGAAGGCTTGGGTTTCTACTCCATCCCAAATGTGCCACATTGACAATTCACTCTGGACCAAGAGTTTTCAAATTTCAGCATGTATCAGACTGTTTAACCGACCTTGTTATACATGACTGGCTGCACCCTACTTGTGGGTGTTTGAAGTTCTGTGTTAGTGTGGGTTCTGGTGGTTCAGGGAAATGGGAAACCAGTTCCCCAGTCCTTTACTACCTAGTGGCTACTGAGGACCGATGACATCAGATGGGATTGGTTAGCAATGGGATGCCTAGGATCTGAATTTACACATATTCTATATTCTTTATCACATTAAAATTAAAAAAATTCAACAGGTGTTGGTGGCGCATGCCTTTAATCCTAGCACTTGGGAGGCAGAGGCAGGTGGATCTCTGAGTTCAAGACCAACTTGGTCTACAGAGTGAGTGCTAGGATAGGCTCTAAAACTACACAAAGAAACCCTGTCTCGAAAAACAAAACAAAAAAATTCAAAAAATTCTACTCCAGAAGGCCTACAAAATAGTGAATGGGTAGACTTTGAATGAGGCTTTTGTAAAGCATCTTATTATTTTATAGCTACATTCAACTTTTATTGTTAGCTACTCTCAACTTTTATTGTATTTTGGATGGCAGAGAATCAGGATCACAGAACATTAGTCTGAGAATGGATCCAAGGAACATGAATCTAATTTAACCCTTGGATCCTTCACAATTCATATAGAAGCATATTTCAGATGATTCTAGGATTACACAGAATTTAAAATGGTACTAGTTGGGCTTCATCCCACTGTTTTGAGTGACTCCCAGCTTCTTCTGTCAAATCAGCTAAGTTCCCTTCATTTTGCAAATGAGGAAACTGAAGCCTGCAATAAAATTGTTCCCGGAAAGTTTTTTAGAAAGCTCATCCATGTTGGGCTTTGGGTAGACTTGATGTTATGACACACTCAGATTTGGGTAATGACAAATCTTGCTATAAGACTTAGGACCCATTGGTCTTCTGAGCCATTTAAAATACCTTAGCACCAATAGATGTTAAATTTGGGTGTGAAGCAAGAAGATTTTCACCTTCTGATAGCAGGGATAAAAGGCAATGATAGAGGCTGTGAATAGCAAAGAAATCAGATGGACATATTGTGCCACTTTGGTGGGGTGGCACAGTTGGTAGTGTAGGCGAGTATGGGCATCCAGGTAACATGTGACCTAGAAGTACTGGGATGCGGTTTGGGCCTTGCCAATGCCAGACAGAGCCACACCAGTTACTAGGCATACTATGTTGGGATACTCAGTCTCCTAACAGGACCTAACTCTGATCTCATCTATTTTCTAGTGCCCAACCCTTGCAAGCAGGTCTGTAGCCACCTCTGCCTGCTGAGACCAGGAGGATACACCTGTGCCTGTCCCCAAGGTTCCAGCTTCTTAAGTGGCAGTACCGTCTCGTGTGATGCAGGTGAGTATACTCACTGTCTAGGAAGCCTTGGGACCTCAGTAGACCAGAGGATCCTACTTTATTGTGACCTTGGCCGATTCAGGTTAGGAGTAGCTGGGAAAGGGGATGAGGGAAACACGAGAAGAACGAACTGGGCGAGACTCTGCAGGGCAGCCATGTTGCCATTTGTGTTATAAAGACATTTTGAAGAGTGGGTTTTCCATAAGGCTCTTCCTCCCTCCCTTTTCCTTCCTTCCTTCCTTCCTTCTCCATACAGTAGATTTCCCTTGTCCCAGAATTTGCTCAAGGTACAGAACCATTTCCTGAGCAGGAGAGGCGCTAGGATGGGGCAGTTGGGGTGGGTGGGAGGAGGGATGCTTGAGTATCCCCCTGCTTTTCTCACATGCCCGTTTTAGAATTTTGAATTTTGTAGAATTTTGTATTTTGAAGGCTGGCTATGTGGCTGAGAAATGAAATCCAGAATAAGGCAGCAGGGAGTGGGGTAAGGGGTGGATGCTGTGTTTTGGTTCTCCTGCAGTGCTGTGCATAAAAGATCCGTTCTTCAGTGGCTCATCTAAATAGTTAACTTGTCATGGGGATAACTACTGTCCTTAACCAATAGCTTCTGCGTAATAAGCTATCAGAAAGTCATTCTTCAGTTTACCCTGCAGCCTATTTTATGGCTAACATCCTGGGGGCTTCCTGAGGTGTAAGCTGGTGGGGAAATGAAGGTATAAACAGTTCCTACGGCTGGGGGAGCAAGCACTTTAACAAGGATTCCTCTCCTTTGGAGAAAGTGCTCAGGGTTCTCATCTCTTCTGCCCCTGTGCTCACTCCAGTCTTCCTTGGGTGCTTTTGATAAGATTCTGCTATTTCGAGGCTGGAGGGGGGCTTAGAGGCTGCTTGTTCAATCCCGGGCTCCCACACAATGACTCACAACCTCCTGTGACAACAGTCCCAGGGGACCTGACAATTTCTTCTGGCCTCTGAGGGTGCTACAGCCATGTGGTGCACAGACAATACATGCAGGAAAACACAAACACTCTGAGATTGTCATTTAAAAGAGCTTTATCCAAAGTAAGCCTGTTAACGACTATTAACAGATGTTGCATATACAGGGTCTTGATGTGACCTATTGTTAATGAACATATCAGTTAGTTCAATGGCATTTATTGGGTGTCGACTCTGTACCAGGTGTGACTGAAAGTTCCAGAGATGAGAGAAGTGAGTAAAACAGGCAAATCCCTTCTCTCATTGAGCTTACTTGCTAGTAGGATAATAAGCCAGGAACCCTGTAAGTATGTAATAGGACAGGTGGCTAAAGTACATGCAGTAGGCACAGGGCGGGCATGATTGGCTTGCCTAGCCTCTCTGATGAAAGGAACTCTGAGTAGAGACAGTAGACAAACTCATCAAATAAAGCACACATGTGGTAAAGAAATCATCCAGGTGGTATGCCGGGGGTGAATCAGGTGCAGTAATCCAGTGGCTAGATTTCCCTCAGCTGCTTTCCCATCTATCTGTGTCTGTGTGTCTGCCACTTGCCTGGTCCTCTGCTGATGATCTGGAGTCCTGGGTTGCAGTTTCAAGCTGTGTCTAAATGAAACTCTTGGTTCTAATGGTTCCCAGAAGAGAATCTGGGGGATTTCGGGTGACACAATATATACTCTGGGTTTAACCTCACTGCTTAGAGGAAGAAAGTACTCTGAAGTTTCTATCTATCACTCCCCAGGATCTCACCATTGTTTAGGAAGTTCATTTGCCTTTGGGAACAGGTGATAACTCAGCAGGGAGGCCCGACATCCCCTTTACCCCTCCCGCCTCAGTCCTGGGCAGGTTTTGCATGGTGTAGTGCTCTGCTTGCCTGTGGCTGACTAACCCATGCATGGCTCTTCCTTTCTGCAGCCATCGAACTTCCCGTCATCATGCCTCCCCCATGCAGATGCATGCACGGAGGAAATTGCTATTTTGATGAGAATGACCTCCCCAAATGCAAGTAAGTCTGACTCTTGAGGTCCCAGTTGTAGGCCTTGGCTCTTCTAGGGAACCCGAGCTCTTTATAGCTGGGGAAACAAGTGCAGGAAGCTTGCCCAATTCACCGTTTCCGTTTCCATGTCTAACCAGCTTGTCCTCCTTTGGGGGAGTCTGCAGAAGGTGAGGCCATGTTTCCCAAACCGTACCTGGCATAAGCCTTGGCTGAGGATCTGGCTCAAATGCCTATGTGCATTTGAATGGAATGGCAGAGTCACAAGGAAGGGCAAGGAGTGAAAGAAAGGATAGCAGTGTGTCTCCCTATGCCACCTCCCACCTCACCTGGGATGATGGCTTAGGAAGGAGCACGGAAGGGCAACTGACAGGAGAGATAGATGCTTCAATACAAGGCTTATGACAAGCAGACTAGCCTGTGGGAAACCTTCACCACAGAACAAGAGGAATGGTCGCTTTCCCGAAAGCTGTTGGAGGATGGAATGCTGCCACCGTGCCTATCAATTCTCTCTAAGGAAGAAGTGCAAAGAAGCCTTATTTGTGAGGCTGACCCTCATAGATGCCACTCCACCATAAGTGAATTTCTGGAATCGGACAGAGCAGTGCTTTTAGGCTGGCAGGAGAAGCAGCTGTGATGCCGGCTGCATCGCCTGTTCCTCATGCATTTCACTGGCCACAGCACTAGGAGCCTCTAGAAGGTGACTAAGTAGTCTCCTCTTGCTTCTAGGTGTTCTAGTGGCTACAACGGAGAATACTGTGAGGTTGGGCTCTCAAGAGGCATCCCTCCAGGGACAAGTAAGTGTCCAGAATATGGGTGACCTGCAATAGTCACGGCCCTCCATCTTCCTTTTGCCCCAGGCTCATGGGCTCTAGCCGCTCTAGCCCTCCTGGTCATGTGGTGATGTTGACTCTCTGTTTCTGTCCCCTGTGCAGCAATGGCTGTGCTGTTGACATTCCTGATCATCATCATCATTGGGGCTCTGATACTCCTTGGATTTTTTCACTACAGAAAAACTGGCACCCTTTTACCCACTCTGCCCAAGCTGCCAAGGTCAGTTTCTGTGTGTTGGCTTGGCTTTCTACAAGTGACCTCTGTTTCTTGTTCTGATGTTGTATCTGGGATTGTGCTTTTGTGTGTTCAGGTAGACGGGGGTGGGGGTGGTGGTGAGGGTTGGGCTTGCTGCAGTGTTTTTTGGTTTTTCGAGACAGGGTTTCTCTGTGTAGCTTTGGAGCCTGTCCTGGCTCTTTCTCTGTAGAAAGGCTGGCCTCGAATTCACAGAGATCTGCCTGTCTCTGCCTCCCGAGTGCTGGGATTAAAAACAGCAGCCCAGCGCTGCTGTGTTTTTGACATGTGTACACAACATATCTTTTGTTCGTTTGTTTTTTTTGAGACAGGCTTTCTCTGTGGCTTTGGAGGCTGTCCTGGAAGTAGCTCTTGTAGACCAGGCTGGTCTCATAGAGATCCACCTGCCCCTGCCTCCTAAGCACTGGGATTAAAGGCATGTGCCACCACCACCCGACTAACACAACATTGTTTTGGTTCATTCCAGTTTAAGCAGCCTTGCGAAACCCTCTGAAAATGGAAATGGGGTGACTTTCAGATCAGGGGCTGATGTTAGCATGGACATTGGTGTTTCTCCTTTTGGCCCGGAGACAGTTATTGATAGATCAATGGCAATGGTGAGTGGGTCTTCCATGTGACTATTTGAAGTTTTCCTTTACAGTAACTTATGGAAGAAACCCTTCTTATAAGGAACAAAACTAACCCTGGGGGATATTAAAATAAAGAAACACAGTCTGTCCTCTGTAGGCCATATAGAGTTGGTGGAAACTATGACTCTACCATCTAAGTATTTATTTATAGATAGTCAAGGGCTGACCTTTTCTGGTCCTTCTGGCCTCTTGTGTAGAATAGGGACGTGCCTGCCGCTTATGAGCAGCAGGTGGCACACTCAGGGATGAGCCTAGCACAGCTGTGGCCCAGCAGGGCCTTTCTGTAATCTGAAAACCCACTCCTAATGCTTTGTCTCCACCTCCAATCTTCCATCCCCACACCTGCCTGAAAGAACAATATTCCCCGGTTGCCTACCTTCCTGTCCTTTTCTACCACGCATCCTTTTCTCCACTGTTCTGACCACAGTGGGTTACATACGTTAGAGAACCATAGAGAATTCAGCTGTGGAAAGAGTATTTGTGTTTTCCAGGGCAAATGGCGTGGCTCATTATTTATTAGCTGAAACAGTGGGTTGCTACAATGGGTCTCTGCTGCTGCTATCTTTCCCCCAGCCTCTCTAAGACCTCCTATTTGGGTGACTTTGTGAAAGTGTGGTAGGCATCCAGGTATGAGGGAGACACCTTTCTGTCTGGTATCAGTGGGTGTGACCTCTCTGTCTCCTCCCCACCAGAACGAAAACTTCATCATGGAGGTGGGGAAGCAGCCTGTGGTATTTGAGAATCCAACATATGCAGCTAAGGACAGCACTTCCAAAGCAGCCCTGGCAGCTCAGGTGAGATGTCTTTCTGCCTTTGTTGCCATTGAATCTTCCCGTGTTCAGAATGTTTGCCTCTAACCTGCCCTCCTAAAGGGATGAAACACAGTGACCTTCATCTCAGATTCCCTGTCCACAGTCATGAAGCTGCCCTAGTTTACAGCCCTGCAAAAAGTTAGAGCACTGTGTCTTAGCAGAGACTTTGCTGGGGGTGTTCTCTGTGCTCAGTCATTCTGAATCAGTCTTAGCAAGGGGTATGAGTCTATTAGAGATGCAGGAGACACAGGGTTCTATGACAGACACAGGGAACTATGTCAGAAATGAGTAAGAAGGAGATAGGTGTCCCAAGGACACAATCTGAGCAGGAAGATGACCTGTACTGCACAGAAGTCAGAAATTAAGATTTGCTTGGCAAAGGCTTACTATTGCTCTGTATTAAGAGAAACTGGGAGAAGAGACAGACAACATGCTTTTCATTAGTCTGGACTAACAGCCCATGCCACCTTTAGACTTGACCTGTGCCTCCTTTTTCTAAGTAGCTACAGCAAATAGCCTTCAGTATTTGTCAGTGACTAGATTTCTTTCAAATTCAGTATTGGTATACTTTAATATTATATGATAGAAATGTTTCTTTCAAAAATAGCTTTTGTGTTTTGTTTTGATTTTGGTTTTTCAAGACTGGGTTTCTCCATGGCTGTCCTGGAACCAGGCTGTCCTTGAACTCATAGATCTGCCTTACCTTACCTCCCCAGTTCTGGGACTAAAGGTGTGTGCCACCACTGCCTGGCTCAAAAATAGCTTTTTTAAGAGCAAAAATGTTTGGATCTTGAAAAACTCTTACCTGCTCCTTGATAGTGCATCATGGAGCAGAGATGAAATTTCATCTGGTATTTTCACATGAAATAAAAGGAGGAGTGTATACAAACACATACAAGTTTAAGAAGAAACAAAATAGTGGATGTAAAATGCAAAAAAAGGGAGTATATTATCTTCCCTGTAATGCATATAGCCAGGGTCATTTAGGTTTAAGAAAGAATTACATGGAATTTTACAAAAATAGAATTAAGCATTAAGCCTATTTTTTAAAAAAAGTCTTTTCTCTTTTAGGCAGTCCTCAGATTGCTCATTTATTTTTTATTTATTTATCCATTTATCTTTTGAGATACAGTCTTACCATGTAGCCCTGGCTGGCTTCAGACCCACAGAGATTTGCCTGTCTCTGCTGGTATTAATGGTGTATGACACCATACCTGGCCACAATATTCAAAGAGGACCCTGTTCACTGTGTTTGTGTGACTGGTCATGTTTACTAAGCACTTGGTTGCTAGTATGTGATTAGAATATCTTTTATCTAAAATTATGGTCAACAGTGGGAATGAAGAGTATAGAGAATTACATTGCCTGCCAGTGGGGGATATACTTGCCTGCCAGGGTTGGTACATTAGGTGACTTCATAGTTACTGCTCTTATTTGGGGGAAGTGGGAGTGGTATTTATAGCTGCCAGGGTCACATATCTGATTTAAAAAGGTAGCTGACCCTGTCTGTGGAGAACAAGATGGCAAACAGAATTCAAAATTCATTTAGTCATTTATTCTTTCAAAATTTTGTAGGGGCCGTCAATACATCCACAGGTGACTGTAACAGAAAATGTGGAAAACCAGAATTATGGAAGTCCCATGGATTCTTCTGAGATAGTTCCGGATCCAAAGCCAGCCTCCCCGGGTGCTGATGAAATTCAGGTAAATGATAACCTACTCATGAAGAGAAATTTGCAAAGAGCTTTGACCTATCTGGGTTGATATTAATCTGTGGGAGACCATGTAAAAAGAATGGAAAACAGAATTCTAGATCCAGCATATCTTCAGAAGAAGGACATCAAATCTGAGACATTTACACAGCATGAAGAGTGATGTGTTGAGGGTACATAGAAATACCCTTCCCTGGAGGATGCACTGTTTGCAAGTTTACAGCTTTACTGATATTACAAATATCTACCACCAGGTGGCACTACTTATTTATTCCCTCTTCCTCTAAATCTAGATACACCTAATTGTCCAGCTAACTATCCCACAAACATTATCGCCTTTAGTGCTCCAGGCAAACTATTTAGTGCTGGAGACTTAAAGAGGGGAAAAACACCACTTGAAGAATTTTTCTTTGTTATATAAGTTATATCTTTGCATTTCATTTTGGCTGTAAATCAACAAGTATTCTATTAGTGAATAGTGGACTACTAACTTTAGTAAACACACATGTAGCTATCCCAGGTCTACATGCTTGGGCATGGAGCAATTGTTGGCAATGAGAGCCAAGCTTCCCTAGTTGCAGCCCAGCTCTTCAGCTCCATCTTTGCAGCCCACTGGTTCTTGTGCTTGCATCATTGCAGGCTGAGACCCTCCAAGTTCTGTTCTCTACCGTCTGTCCCATGATCCCGTATCTGTGACCCCAGGTCACTAAATAGTCACTTGGCTGAAGACAGCAGAAGTGCTTGGTTAGCTCACTGAGGATAGTAATGTCCAAAGGAGTCCCACAAGTTTAACTTTCTTAGTAAATATGTAGAAAATACTCTCTATCACTCAGTCCTGTCACAAGTTGCTGGGATCTCCCTAGGAGGTTTGGAAATGAGGGCCACCACATTCCTCTGGAGCAATTACTTCCAAGGAACTATTGCAGATTGAGACAATGACTGTTGGTCTTCTCCACTTGACTTCACATTTCCAAAATGCAGGGTTTGACCTCCATGTATGTTTCCATCTTCTCTTGTTTGGTGACATATGGAATAGTTGTGTGGGTTGGGTGAATGGTCTTGCCTTTCTTCCATAGTTATGTGTTACTGGTACCAAATTTCAAAGCCATCTTGTAAAACATGTGGGCTATATAACAAACATGACCTGTAGAGGGAGCCTGTCAATGAGGTGGCCAGCATTGCAGTCACTTTTTCAGTAGGGTGGGGCCGACCCACTGGCGTGTGTTTGTTGTGGGGAAAGCTGTCTTTGGGTTATTCAGTACATAGGACTCCCTGCTTGTCTACCAGAATTTAATTATTTGTCTTCCTGTGACTCAGTATGTATCATCCTGGTGGAACAGAAAAACCCGCATCAAGGGATTGTTAGGATAAAATCAGAACCTCATAAAATTCTTAAAGCAATTCCTGACACATAGCAAACACTCAGTAAATGCTAGTTGTTAAACGAAAATGATGACGACGGCAACAGCGATGGTGTTGGATGTGATGGAGTGAGAGGGGATATTCTGGCCAAGCCATGATTTTGAGATAAGAGATACAATTTGGCTTTTTCTTGAGCTTCTTGGCTGTTCGGAGTATCTTAGTGTTTTGGATACTCTGTACCAACTAGCTGCACTGCAAATCTTCTTGATGGCAAGGCCTAGATTCACAAGCTGTACATTCACACTAAGGAAGGGTTTTGAAATTGCTACAAGAAAACAGCTGAGAGAGTCTCAGTTACTGTCCAGGGACCGGAAGAGGAATTGAACAATATATGACTTAAGCCACACCCTTAAATTACTTTCCAATTAGAATTTAAAAAGTCAGGCCTCGGAAATCTATGGGGCTTCTTATCCCTAGCATAGGAATGGACTTTGGGACCCCTTTCCACATAGAGGAATACTCCCTCAGCCTAGACACACAGGGGAGGGCCTAGGCCCTATTCCAAAGGATATGACAGACTCTGAAGATCCCCCATGGAAGCCTCACCCTCCCTGGGGAGCAGAAAGGGTATGGGATAGGTAGGGTGTTAGTTGGGGGCAGGGGGGGAGGGGAGGGAGAGGGAACTGGGATTGACATGTAAAAAAAAAATCTTGTTTCTAATTTAAATAAAATGAAAACTAAAGAATTTAAAAAGCCAGGAAAAGACACCCATAAAGAAAAAATAGAAAACCCCATTACTGAAAGCCTTCCATTTCCTCTTTTCATTTAGGGTACAAAATGGAACATCTTCAAACGAAAACCCAAACAGACCACCAACTTTGAAAATCCAATCTACGCAGAGGTAACTCTTAGTCCCTGTTCTAAGCACAGACACTCACTGCTTTGACACACACTGAGATTATTCTGGGCAAACTGGAAAAGGTTAGTCCTCATACAGAACTGTTTCTGGTTGTGCTGGGATGTAAATGACTGTGTCTTGTTGTGATTGTAGATGGACAGTGAGCAAAAGGAAGGCGTGGCTGTGGCCCCCCCTCCATCTCCTTCTCTCCCTGCTAAAACTTCAAAAAGAAGTTCGACTCCAGGCTTCACTGCAACAGAAGACACCTTTAAAGACACTGCCAGTCTCGTTAAAGAAGACTCTGATGTATAGCTGTGCCAGCTCTCTAGGGAATGATTAGACACTCACTTTTGCACATATATTTTTTACAGACAAATGAAAAAAAGTTAACATTCAGTACTTTATTAAAAAATATATTTTTCTCTGTTTGCCTATAGTTGGAAGTGTGTTGTGTGTCTTTTTTACTCATGCCATTTCATATTTTTACAACTATCACGAGGTACTGTGTATATCTTGCACTGATGTTGTCCAAGGGTGATGCTGTGAATATATTGTACTTCTGTAAATTTTGGAAGGATTATCACATCTTTGCTAATGAGAGTACTGGTGAGCTGAAGAATAAGGAGTTGGCTTTATATTTAAAGAAGATACCACTCATGTTTCCTTTAAAGCAACCTAAGGGAGGCATCCAAGCTTCATTTGTGGGTCCATTTTTAAACATCAGCACTTAAATTAATAACGTTCAGCATTACATGTCAACTTGATTACTAAGTGTACTGATAGAAGCTAGTGTTGGCTACACAGACTGTAGATGCTTCAGACAACACAGAAGGTACCAAAAGTATTCAGTTGGACCCTTCTGTGTGCCTCTGTCTTCTAACCCCAGCTACGTTTTGAATGTACTATGTCCCTAGTTGCCAAGTCAGCATTTGTTTCTGTCACCTCATGTCCCACATTGAGTTTCTATTTCACTAAATAAGCTCCTTTGCCTGACAGACCTTAAATCAACTTATGTATGCCCTTGCCTGGCATCTCAGGTGTCACCTACCTTAGCCACTAGAATTCTGTAGCTGGCTTACTAAAACCAAACCTGTGTCTCCATAAAGTAGGGTGCCAAATGGATACCAGTTAACCTGGGTGTTTGCTTCTGTGTGCAAAATATTATTATATTGACTATTTATTTCCTCAGTTGACAACTAATAGAAAGGGAAAACATTCTTATTGAGCCTTTTTCAGGTCTTTGCCTAAACCTGTACATTTGTGTCAGGATCTACTGTACACCCCAGCTCCTCTACATAGACAGGGACCATGGCATGAACATACATTTTCCATAGCAAGTAGCATTCCTGGTTCTCTGTGCTAATATTGCACATGTGTTAAACTGCGAATGAATGGAAGGGTGGGGGAATGAATGAATGAATGAAATATACTACTGATTATTTTATTCTCCAGTTCTCAAAATACTTCGTTGCTCATAGTTTGAGTACCGATTGTAATTACTTTGATTAGGAAAAAAGCAACTGGAAATTATGCTGCTGAAAATTTCTAATAAATGTGTATTTTATCAGATGTCCTTTGTGTGTCTGTATCCTTCTTGAGTTTTGGTCATAAATCACTTAAATTGTTTGTGTGGTGACTCTGTCACACCTATTCCTTGCCCCTTTTGTCCGTCCACTCCTTGATGAATTTTTTTAGTGAAGACTATTATGGAGATGACCCACATTTCAGAGTTTAGCTGGACCCTTGAAAGGAATCCTATATCTCATCTGAAGTTGAAATGGAGATGACAAAAGGGTTGGTTGTGTTTTATTGTCTTGGTGTCCTTGGTATTTGAAATGTCACAGTGTGGAGAACAGAACTACAGAATTACATCTTTTCTGTATTCTTCGAAGAACATTTCAGAAAAAGGTGGAGAGCCTGCCCCCACTGGTGCAATTCCCAGTGTCTAGTACCAGAAAGAAGTTGATATGTGAAATTATTCTATTTCCAGTTCCTAGACCCAGCTACACAGGGCCTCTTCTTAACTGGCTTATTTGTTAGTCTCTCTGGAGCCTATTACAATTAATCATTTTCCTGGAAGAACTTCTGGAGGACAATAGGAAGTCCTGATCATTCCCTGACATTGTGGAGAGTTTTACTACAAAGAAAACAAAAGTATTAGTCTCCAAGAGTGCAATTGTGGGTTTATCGCTTCTAAAGTTTTTTGCATGTTTCTTTGGAAACTTGGGAAAATTGTATTGGGAGGGACACTTCAGTTTTGGAAGATAAGGAACCTTGAGCTGCTGTTGGCAGTGTTTTGTTGCTTTCATCACATTTTAAGGAAACTGAATTCAGACCGTGAAGGGCAATGGGACTTCATTTGTAAACACACACACACTTGTAAACACACACACACCCCTGATAGTTGCAAGAGAATCCATGGCTCCTTTGTTTAGTGTGGTAGAGGCAGACTCCAGTCCTGGCTGAGGCAGTATTTGTCCTAGAGCCAGAAACCTCTGGCTAATTGAATATGCATGTGTGATTGCAGTCTCCCAGACCTTCACAGGGAAAATGGAAGGGTTGGCTGTGTTCTCTCTAAGATCTCCACCTTTCAGGTGCAGTGTCTCAGTTCATTCCGATTCACTGAGGCTGTTTCAGTTAGCTCCAAGCTTGTTACAAGAACATCCAAGGAAACAGATCACATCCTGACTTTATCTTCAAATGTTGCTTCTCTCTGGGTGAGCTGTCAAAATGCTGCACTTCAGGGAAATTGTTTTGTTTTTAAAGTATGTGGCACTCTTTGCAAAGAAACACTGCAAATATCCCTGGAGGCAATGTGGGTCTATGGTCCCACATTGCAGTTTCTAGTGCACCAACTGGGCCCTAAATAGGGCGTGAGTTTGGAAGAACCAGTGACTTCTGATGGATGAAAAGTTGTCAAATGGGCTCCAGAGTAAACAGCAGAGAAGCTTAGGAGCAAAACAGGTTTTGTTCTTTAGAAGTTAGAGTTAATTTTTTCTTTAATGATAATAAAATTCATGATATGAAATTTTACACTTTAAAATGTTTTAGTACCGTTGCGTGTGTGGGGGCATATTCAAATGCCATGGTGTACATATGGGGGCCAGAGAACAATTGAGTCTGTTCTCTCCTTCCACCATAGAACGCAACAATGGAACTCAGGTGTCTGGTTTGCATGGCAAACATGTTTACTGCTGAGCTATCTCTCTAACCCTGCCTTTTGTTTTTTATTTGCTGTTGAGTCTCTGCCACATAGCCCATGCTAGCCTCAAATTCATGGTTCTGATTAAGATTGCCCAGCTAAACTGAGTCTTTATCCATATCAATTTTTATTGTTTTTTAAGAGGCCTTTGGTAGGTTGCCTATTAAAGCCTTTGGGAATCACTGAGGCCTGGTATTCTGAAGTTCAGACTGCGTTAGAGCTCATGAAAGGGAAGTACACTCAGCCTATCCTGGTCCAGCAGAAAGTCACTAGTCAACTATTGTATCCTGTGAACACTATCTCAGAATGGGCCATGGCTACAGTGTTCAGAGTGTAATCCACCTACATTAGTCATTAAAGCAGTGGCTGCTAAGTTCAGGATTGGTCAGGTAAGAGGTGGGGGAATCATGACTCTCATGCTGACAGACTTTGGTTAAACTACTGAATTTTTCTGATTTTTGGTTAAACATAAAAAAAAAGTCTTGAAAAAAAGAACAAACAAAAAAGATGAAGGAAGAAAGAGAGAACAAAAGAAGATATAAAGATAGGTTGGAGATGTTTCTGAAATATAGACTTCATGTGAGGTCCTGGGTTCTAGCCCTAGCAGCACATCACTACCCAGAACAAACACACACAAAAGAGACAAACACACCACTCTTCACGACTCACAGGAGGATGGCATATATTCATTCATTAATACTGAATAAAATACCTACCAAACAGCAATAGGTGGTGTTCACTGAACATCATGTAAAGCTTCTCATTTAACTCTCTGGAAACTTAACAAGGGAAGTATTATTTTAATGTTGTTACAGACAAGGGAAATAAGAGAACACACAGAAGGATGCTTTGTTGACCTTAGATTATGACATTACATGCCTGATACAATGTCATATCCTAGGGAGAAATCTGCTTTTAGTTCATCTGCGTGATGAACAAGACCTTTGTGTGGAGGCAGAGTAGCATATAAGTCTTAGAGAGATTCCAACAGCTGTACCCTTGGGTTTCTACTTAGCCTGGTCTCAAATGCCAGAAACCCAGTGTGGTACCCTGTGTTGTTCTCTCTAGCTCCATCTGGACAGCATCACTGGTCAGCTTCCTCCTTACCTTTGTCTCAGTGAACTTTTTGGTCCATTCCTCATCACCTCTCAGTAATCTCTTTTTACCCAATTAGAAGCCTAAGTCTCAAGATCCTAAATAAAAAAGTCAAGGAATAAGTTTAGTGCAAATAGTGTAACATTACATGACGAAATCCTTGATAGGAGTAGTGGTCATGGCCCACCATCCTGTGGTGTCTGAAGGGCACACATGTGCTTGTGGCATCACTGATCTGTTGCTAGGGGCTCTAGATTTCTTTCTTGCTGTGGTCTTTACACTCTTGTCCATCTTCTGACTTAGCTGACATTGACTTTGTGCCTAGTAAGTGCCAGGTTCAAACATCAGGGGTTGTGCACAGTCATGTTCCTTTGAGATACTGGGGGTGAGTTGGAAGGTTGTGTTGGGAGCATCAAATGCCAGGCATCCCACTTCATGAAAGTATGAAGACCCACTGAGAGAATTACAAAAGAAGAAGCAACATAGGGCTAACTGTCTGGCTCTTTGCTATCACAGTCAATTTTGAGATGAAGCTTTGAAAAAAGTCATTATTTTTTTATTTTTTTAAACCAGGATATCAGGTAGCCTAAACTGGGTTTGAATCTACTATGTAACTGAGGATGGTCTCAAACTTTTCCTCTTTCTACCTCTACTTGGAATTCCAGGTGTGTGTCACCACACCCAATTTCGTGCAACACTGCAGATCAGACTCATGGTTTCATGCATGCTGGGCACACAATTAATTACTCTAGCAACTGAGCTACAACATAGCCCTAGAAAATTCTTTCACATTTTTCTGTGTACACACCTGGTACCTGTGGAGGCCAGAAGAGGATGTTATATCCCTGGAGTTGGAGTTATAGATGGTTGTGAGCCACCATGTGGTTGTAAGAATTCAAGGATCTGGGAATGAAGCTTGGTCTGTGGGGCAGCAGTATTGAGACATGGGACCTTTAAGAGGTGGGACCTGGTTAAAGGTCATTAGTTCATTTGGGGCACACCCTTCTAAAGCATTGTGGGATGCAGGTCCCTCTCCTTCCTAGTTGGAGATGCAGGTGATTCTTTTGATCTTACACAGTTAAATGCCAAGGTCATCTGCCATTTTCCAAGAGGTTCTTATTAAAATGAAGCCAGTATAGACACTGTACTCTTGACCCACCCAAACTATTACCTATCAAACCCTTTTCTCTTACCGTTATCTGCTTTGGGTGGTTATCTCGATACAGAATTGGATAATATAATCACCACCTCTATTTCATAAGCTCATTTCTTTGCTCAATTTTTGTCTGTCTTTTGGATAATAAGCTCAGCATCGGCCAGGGACTCATTTGTCTACGCTGC